ATGTGGTCGCCAGACATGAAAGCAGTCCGGGCAACGATCAAGTACGCAATGGCGACAGGGAGATTGGATCTTGACGAGGAACGACGATGCAGCGAGAAGCACAGCAAACTGAAGTCTGTAAGCTCAGTTGATTGATCAGTTCTTGAAAAACAGAAGGGCGTATTCTGTGCTTACCAAGTGATTGCCGTGGTGATGACAGCTTGCGGGTGGCCCGCAATAAACGGCCGAAGATGCGATCTAACACTTGTGGTGCTTGAGCGACGCAGGGCACGGCTCTATAGCCTCGACCACCCTACAGCCGATATGGAGCACGAATTGGAGGCCGGGCCTGTCATCGCTCGGCCCCACATTACGGCGCAGGCCGAACCATCCGGGCATGACTTACAACTCCACGCCCAATTCTCCGGCCATGGCTGAAATCTTGAACAAAATGGTGTTGTTGTGGGCTCTAGCCCTAAATCTCTTAAAGCATATGCCAGGTAGCACCCACCTACTTTTGTGCACAGCAGGCCCTCGGGCTACCCCTCTATTCATAGCTTCTGCAACTCTGTATCTCGACCTGCATCATCTTGATCACTAGTTTGCCCATCACTCCGTCAACCGGTCATTCATATCGGATGGCTTACGACGAGTTTAGAGCCCTCTAATGCAAAGGGCCGGTGGCATTTTTGGCTGCAGTCTTGGTGTGATTAGTACATGGGCAAGGGGGTAACTACATGCATGATAAAAAGCTCGAGGGGTTGACAGCCCACCTTGGCGGCTAGTCGGGGAGGCGTTTTCGGAGCTCTAACGAGGAGTGCGCCTGGCGAGCCTCATTGTGGCGCTTGAGGCTGGTACCCCGCGACGGCACGAATGGGCGGCAGCCTGATGCCAATATCCATCCGCCGAGGGCCTGAGCTTTCAGCCTTTCGCACCAGCCCGTGGCCCAGGTGCACGTCTATCAGTCTGGGAACCGGGATGCTTGACGACTTGAGTACCGCTCGCCATTGCGCTTCTGTGTATTCGACAACATCATTGCCCAGTGCTGCCCAAGCACCCATCATTGGCTTGCCGCAGCTAGCGGGGTGACCGGCCGAGCTCCGGGTTGCAGGACGCCGGGTGTCGTGGTCCGACTCAGCGCCGCTCAGGTGGCCCCATCCATGTCGCTGGTTCTGTTGTTGACGCGTCTCCATGGCGAACGCTCAAATTCACGGCGTGAAAGCCAGCAACGGAGGGACTGTTAGAAACGAGATCCACATCGGCGACTCACACTCTCAGCGCAACTTAAATCTCACATTCAACAAGTTTGTCTTCAACAACTACCCACCGGATAGGGCCCAACAGTTGCTGGCTGCGCCTGAGAGTGGGTCTCCCTGTGTTACTACCTGTCTTCATGTTACTCATCTACCGAAGTACCCATTTATCTACCTTGCCTTGGGCAATTCTTACTTGAGGATCGTCCCGACTGGATGAAATCTAGCAGCGGTGTCTCTCATCAGTCTCATGCTGACCTGGACGCAGTTGCAAGATTCGCCATTCCCGTTGTAACGAGTCTCCAGACCGGCCACACCCATCCAGAAATGTCACTGTCATCACCAATAAAACACGGAGCTGCACTGGACGAAGACGAGACCCGTACGGGTGCCCCTGGTCACACAGACCTCCATCTCGACGACGCCGTCAACCGCGATGCGCCCTTGTACATCCTGGACGTCTACGAGGACGACTACGAGCACCTCAAACGCAGGTATGATGTCGATGACGACATGGAGGCCTTCCCGGAGAGTCTCTATCAAAAAGACTGCGCAGCAGCGCACGAGGACGACATCCGGAACGCCGTCTCGCAGTGGCTCCACTCGTCGCGCGAGTCTGCCCTCCTGACTATCGATGGGTCCGAGTATGACGACCATTGGACTACCCGCTTCGCCGTGGAAGCCGTCCACGACGCGAGACTGCACCCGAAGCACCAGCGTGTTTGCCATCACTTTTGCGGCGAGCGACCGGGTGAGAAAGGACCCTGGCCGTCTCGCGTCGTGGCTCATCTTCTTGCTCAGCTGGGCCCCACGCAGGACGCGAAGACGGCCGACCTAACCCAGTCGCATCACAATTGCGTTAGAGCAGATATGGTCCCTGTCGACAAGCTCTGGGGACTATTGGGGGGCTACGTAAGGGCAGCGGGCATAGACTCGATCACCATCATTTTGGATAGAATTGATGTCCTGTACTGTGAATGTGCGGACGTCAAAGCGACGGAACGATTTTTCGCCTTTCTGAAGGGCTTATCATGGCTGATGAGATTGGGGCCTGTGGTACGTGTTATGGTGACGAGCCGGAACTTGGACTCAGAGATCCTGGAGCGCATTCGAACCGCCTGCTGAACAATAATCTGAGGCTTGAGTAGGCACATGAGCAACGGACGAAGACTGAGCGCTTGTTACCACTTAAGCCCTAGAATACCTTCCCTGTTGAGCTCCGGTTCTTGTCGTGCAGCCCGAGAGCCCTGGTGAACTACCAAGGTATCCAAGTGACCTCGGAAAAAGGAGCACACTCTTTGGCTACCAACACAACTAACGAGAGGATCAGAGGAAACAAAATATTTTGAAAGTAAAACGGCAGTTTGATAACGCACCTCCAAAATCCGCGCATCCGACTCGCAGTGACTTACTCTCCGGTCTGTCCTCCACCCCTCTGTACCGTCTGGATTGTCGCAACCCTGTTCGTCCTTGGTGCTCTAAAGGAGTCTCTGAACGTCTCAGCAAGCATGATGACCTCGTGGATGTGGCTTTCGTCGACGGCACAGCCCCTCTGCTTAGCCAAGGCCGAGGCGGCTCGGACGCAGGCGTGGATCTGTCTTCCGTCCATCTTCATGGCAAGTTCGGATTTCCGCACCACGGTCAAGACCTTCTCGAGCCTGACACGGTGGGATTTGGCCTCATCGCTAAGCGATTGGATGGCGCTCTCCCAAACGTCTTCCTGAAAGGCCTCGCAGCTGCTAATACCCAGCAGTCTCAGCGCGTGGTCCACGTGCGACAGCAGCCTGTCATTGGGGGGCCGGGGATCGACAGCCGTCATGAAGACGAGAGCCTCGGATTGGGCAAGCTGGAAACGGAATGCCGAGTTCAAAGCATTCGTTCGTGGGTGGTGCGGGTCTCGATCCCTAAAAAAGGGGGCGACGTCCTCGAGCAGCAGCAACACCCTCCAGTTCGCAGCACTCCGGAGCACAGCTTCCAATCGTGTCTCCATCACGTCGGGCTCTATCCCAAAACTGGCGCAGCTGACCGAGTAGAGGGGCCTCTTGTATTTATTGGCCAGATATTCTGAGAGTTCGTCTTGTCAGTAAGGTTTTCGATCGCCATCACCAGGCAATTAGGGAAGCAATGGCGCCATACCCACAATGAACGTCTTCCCTGACCCGGGGTCACCTTGAAGTAGAATGTTGTTTCCCCGGCGTTTGGGTGGACCGCCCAGAGTCGTGTCTCCGTTCCCATCCAAGTAGCTTCTTACTTGCGACTCAAGAAGGTGTTGGGCATTCGCTGGGATGTAGAGCACCGTGTTGGAGACATCCGAGTACAGGGGCTCATGCAGGTCCATGATCCGCACCTCGCGCCAGGACCCGTGTCTCAGTGAGAATGCCCAAACTCTCGAAGGGCAATACTGGCGCAGTTCTACATCGTCGATGCCGTCTGCTTCGGCCATCTGACGCGGCTGCCCTTGCGTAGTACAGAGATCCTCGTCGTGCTCGACCCCCGCTCCATACGGCTTCAGACGCAGCCTGGCCCCAAGGCAGGCGACACATTCGCGTGTACGGGCTGGACAAGATGCTCCTGGATGCTTGCTAGGGGTTGTGTAATCAATTATAACCCGCACAGGATCCTGCCATTCACGTCCAGTCAGCCAACGATAACTTGAGCAAGTTGGTAAGATCTGGGGTACTTACAGCGCCCAAGGTGACGGGCCACGCATCGCCTTTATATTCGCGACATATGGGGCTACCGCCGTAAAGCTGTTGAAAATCCGTCCCACGTTCAATCAGCTTCTTGGGGAGGCTGGGGTAGGTTTTATGGATGTACCAGTCCGGCCACACGGCGAGAGACCGAATCCTTCGCGTTGATGAATACCACGGCAGCACCAGCAATTGGTAATGCGGAACGAGACGCTTGCCGGTCTCATTGAAGTTGACATAGAAGGCATGCACATGTAACTCCGCTGCATGTGCCTCACCGCTGGCGCGTTCAACCCTGTCGACTTTGTACGCTCGCCATCCGCCTTCGTCTCTGCTGTACAAGGTTGAGCCGGCGGGGAATAAGAGATGGAGACGATCAAAGGCGATCTTTCCGTCTTCTGAGAAGCTGATATCATGGTCCTTTGGTTCCGACCTGATGATTTCCAAGGCCAACCGAGCGGGTCCGCTTGCGTCCGAGTCACTGAGCTCTGATAGCTCAGAAAGACGCTGGCAAATCATCTCTGGGCTCGTAGGACGACTTGGACCGGTACCCAGTTGGCCGCCCATATCCGGACCGACGCTGAACTCTCGAATGAGGAAGGGGCAAATAATCAGAAAGGTGAGACGCCCCTTAATTCTCACCCTCTCTAACACTTGCTCTCCAGTGCCCGGGCGCGGACCTTGTGGGAACGGTGGCTCGACGACTGCCCGCTTTCCCGGGATAGAATCAAGCTAGGCCCGGAAACCAGTAAGCATGAGTCTCACACCAGGGAATGGGTTAGCGTACGGAGTATCTTGCCTCTGCAAACTGGAATCTGGCCGTGGTTCCTGAGGCAACGGGGCTTTCGGCGGGTGAACAGAGGCCAGCCTTGCCAGAGTCGAATCCCTCAGACGCGGAAGACATTGGCTCATTAACGCCGATCATGTCCATGACATGAGAAAAGCCTTTGCTCGTGCCCGTCCCCGAGCTCGGCGTCAGCAAGCTTGCTGGCTTGGTGGTTGTGCTGCTCTCCTCGGAGTCAAAGCGAGCCTCCTGATCCGGATCTCTGCTCGACATGACTGCCCAAGTTTGTAGTGGTGTTGGCCAAATCCTTTCCACAAATTGCATCATGAGAGTTTTGAATGTTGGTTGATGCGCCAAGGGAAGTTTGGAGGCGGGAAGGTTAGACGCAGTAGGTGAACTCATCAGTGTGAAAGCAGCGGTCAAAAGGGTCGGTATGGCCAGGGCAACAAGACGAGAGGGGAACTGAGCCACCCAACCCCAGGCCATTAGGTTGAGGGCAATTTCGCTGTAAATATGTAGAAGTGCGTACCACTGGGGGCCTTCTCCTCCCCCCCCCCCCCCCCTCCCCTTTTCTTGCTTCACCCTTCCCTCTTCCGCTTCCCCTTTTCCCTCCCCCATCATCCGTTCCGCCTCCTTGCTTCTCGTCAACCAAGTATGCCTTATTGACTGACACGGCAAGCGGTACCACGCCACAGACACATTCCTCACGCAATCACCGGTGCCGAGACCACACGCAACTCGCTCCGACCCTCCATCCGCGCCCGTGTTCGCCACGAATCCAACACACAAACCGCTATAAACAACCTAGCCTGAAGTGATGTCAGGCTGTTCTAAAGTTGGATATCCAATAGTGTTGAGGCCTGGTCACCCTCGCCGCGACTCTACCTGCAACTCATCACATGCCGCAGGCATCCTACAGCTGCAGGGCGAACATGTCGTCCCTTCGAGCGCCACTATTGGTGAGATCGCTAGAGTCCTGCAGCGAGCAAGGCATCTCGAGGGTGCAGTCAGCTGCAGGACTCTGCAAAAGTCATTCTCATCTCGGGGAGGCCGCCCAATCCAATGGTTTCGAGCCCTAGCTGGCCTCCTCCCGCCCCTTTCTCGCCATCTTCCGTTCAGTTATTTTTTTTTACATTCTTACTAACTTATCCGGGTACTATTATTGGCCTCCTAGCTTACAAACACCGGTTTTCCTGGCCACCATGTTGCGGTGAGGCATCATCATCCGGCTTGTCACATAGAGTGTTGCCTGCTTCCCCCCTTGACCAGCTTCCTATAACTCCCTCCTTTTATATCTCTCATATACTTCGTTTACTAGTCACTGAGGTGAAAATATTAGAATAATCTTGCCTGAGAACAGAAAGTTGTCCTGGTTGTGCAATCTTCTAGTTACGATCGGTACTCATAGTGAATTACGCCGAGATTCTGCAGTCAAACCACCACCACCCTTTGCATAAGGGCACTCAAGATTCCAACGCATCAATAACATCAGGGGTGAACCAAATAACATAAGTGGCCAGTTCGCTCAAGAATACAGTCACGATCAAAGACGGGCGCCAAGTTGTAAGTTATGCTCGGAGGGTCCGGCCTTAATGTGGGGCCGAGCGGTGGACCCGGGCCCGACCTCCGAGCCCGAGCCCCACATCGCGGTCCTGGTGGCTAGAGCCATGAGCTGGGCAGTAGAACACCCAGTGTGGAAGACACGCGAAGATGGTGATATTCTTTAGTTATTTGTGTGCAATCGACCGATGTGATGGCCTAGATGCAAAGGACAGCGGTGGTGTTGGGCTGCACCCGACGACTTTCATCAAGTCACAGCAATGCCGCCGCTACAATGTGGTTTGTGCTTAAACCGGGTATCATACGTCATTATTTGGACTTCCACACTTACATTCTCTCGTCTCTACATTGGTTAGGACGAGACATGCAATCTTTACCATCCTCTAATCCCTTCTGAAGTTCTGCTGAAGAAGAGCATCCCAAATCCACCGACACAAAATTTAAACAGACCCAGCCGCCTCCTTAACGTCCCCCTTCTCCGTCTCCTTTGGCGGCGGCGGCGTAGCATCCCCCGGCGTCTTCTGCACCTCCTCCGCCACCATGCGAGCATGAATCGTCTTGGGATGCGACTTGCCCGTGGCATCAAGGTAGATGCTCCTGACGGTCCTGGCGAGGGTGTGGCGGCTCTCAAAGATGGGGAACAGGCCGACGCCGATGAAGGAGCAAAAGATCCAGATGATTCCCACGGTAACCCAGCCAGTGAAGAAGGGCTTGCTGAAGATATAGCCGGTTCCGTACATGGGCATGGGCCAGAGGATCAAGAAGGCCAGCGTCTAAAAAGGCAATGATAGTCAGTGCTGAGCTCTTGTGCTGTGCTTTGTTTGCAGGTGTTCGGTGATAAACGGGACGTACCATGACGACCGTCGCTGTCTTGCTGATCTTCCCTGCGCGCTGCAATTTCTTCTGCTCCTCCTCAAACTGGACCTGCGATTCACTGTGGCCTCCCGGGATCTCTTCGAGGTCCAGTCCCGCAGCAGCAGCCACGTCATGATCATCGCCCATCCTGATTTCCATCATCGACTTCCAGTCGTACTTGTCCAAGCCAAAGATGAGGGTGAAAATGGCAACCAGGACGACGGGAGAGAGCAAGGCGGCAACGTTGCCGGCTAGCATAGGGTTGTTGGAGCCGGTGCAGGCCACGCTCAGCTCGCCACACTCCTTCTTGGCCGTGACCAGCCAGGCAACGAGAGCGCAGACGAGGCCGAGGATGGGCGAGAGAGATGCTGCCCACTTGTTCTGACCGGCCCAGATCAAGGTGAGCGTCGCTGGCAGCACGGCCGCCGAGATCACGACACCCATCATGAGGTACAAGTAGCCCATTGAGATGCCGGCGTAGTACAGCCCGACGGAGAAGGTGGCGATGAAGAGGCCGTAGCCCATAACAAAGGCGTGGCTCGTCCAGATGAGCCGCCTGCCGCTTGCTGTTGGGTTGAAGTAGGTCCGGTACAGGTCGTAGGTGCAGATGGTGCTGACGGCAATCAGCTGACTCGACGTGGCGCTCGTGACGGCCATGAAGACGATCAGAAGGGTGCAGACGGCGCCGCCCTTGCCGAGAATGGCAACCGCGGCGTAGGGGAGCACCAGGCCGGCGCTCACGTCGGCATCGGCCATGCGATCGGGGTACGTCGGGAACCAGGGGGTGTTCTCCATGGCCAGCGCGGCGAGCCCCATGGTTGTCGCAGTCAGCCAAGGGATGGCGAACCAGCTGAGGCCGCCCAGAATGTAGCCGGGGAGAGCGTGGACGGGCGAAGCGGCAATGGCCTTGTTGTAGTAGCCGTTGTCGAGGAAGACAGTGCCGAAGTTGCCGACGATGTTGATGACGAAGAAGATGGCACCCTCGCGGGACTGCATGGTGAGGTAACTGCCGTCCTTGTTACCCTCGACTGGGTGCCGGGCAGCGGCCTGCACCAACAAGTCGTAGACCGCGCTGGGCGACCCCAAGACGTCGTGGGACGCGTACGTGGTCAGGGCAAAGATGATGATGATGAGCAGCAAGATAAACGTGTGAGCCCAGTCGGTCAAGATGGTCGCCTTCAGGCCGCCGACCATTGTGTACGCGACGACGCCGACGGGAAGAAGGTAGATGGCAGCAATGGTGTGCATTCCTGTCAAGGCATTGACTGTGGCGGAGCCGCCAACGATCAACATGAGCGAGACCAGAATGTTGGTGGCCAAGCCAAAGACTAGGAAGACGATATGGGCAAAAGTGCCATATCGAGCCTTGATGATCTCCAGGTATGTGTGGGCGTTGGGTGCGCGCCTCTTGAGCTCGATCGCGAGGGTCGCAAAGAGCAGGATCTGGACGGTGGCGCCGGAGGCGTACCAGAAGGGACCCGAGATGCCATAACGGTAGCACACGCCGGTACTCTGGAGCAGTGTGGCGGCCCATGTCCAGGAGGAGACGACGGCTGACGCCACCAAGCCTGATTTGACTGTCCGCCCTGCCGTGTTGAAATGTTCTGATGTTTGCACCTCACGGTTGTATCGACGTAGGATGAAGGTGACGAGCATCATGCCTGGCTTGACATTAGTGACCAGCCCATGCACTCGGGTAATGGTGATGTTGGGGCTACAATACCTAGCGCAAAGAAGCCTCCGAGGCCCAAGACGATGCCATAGCCAACCCCTTGGCCGAGGGCGGCATTGGCGATGTGTTCCTTGTTGGACGGAGCGTGATCCATCTTGGGTTTGCGGTCGCTCCGGTCGATGGCAACTGGAAGTGAGACGGGAGGATGACTGCAGTGACGACTGGAATGTCCAGAGGCACAAGGGAAGGCATGCAGTTGTTATACTTCGTCTTGCCATATGCCATCATGGCCTTTCCCCCGGCCGGCACCGGAGAATCGGTTATCTTGCCTTATCTTCTGGGACCGTTCAATCATGAGCAGAGGCCCGTACCCGCAGGAAGGAACAACGGTCTCATGCCATGCGATAGAGCTGTTTCCAGGTCGGGTTGGTTACCCGCAACATGGAAACATAAACCTGGGGGACATGGGAGCGAAGTGCTGGTCCTCCCCACTCACAAAGCTGTCTTATCGCTGGGCGCCTCCTCAGGCCAGACAGTCTTGTGGGCTAAACCCGGCATGGCGGTTTTCTCATGGGAGTGAGACATGCATCGCATGGAACTTTGTCGAGAGCACACGAGACACCTGTACTCGGTTCCGTGTAAAGCACGTCACATACGGGTGTGGTGGCAGACATGAAGCGAGTTCGACTACCGGCGCCATCCGGCTGCAGTGCCGGCCGTGCAGTCAGAGAGATAAGGCGAATCGATGGGTCATGGGTCTTGGAGAGGACCCTTGTCGTTGAAGCAACTCTGCGGTGGGGCCAGCCACTGACATTCTCTGTGCGATCCATCGACGACCGAGCTGACATACGGGGAAGAAGCGCAAGACGCGCAAGACACAAACAATTCCAGAGCTGGCATCGTCATTGCCACTTGAGGTTAGGAGTCGACATCTAGACTAGGCTGATGAGGACGAAGAGGGAGGTCAGCAAACTGCACCGGATGAATGGGTCAGCGCCAGGCAATGATGTGCATGCCTCACGTGTCTTCTGGTCCGCCATGAGACACAACTCGCAGCAACACCGCCTGTGCCTGCCTGTTAACTACCGCAGTAGACGTTGACTGCAGTAGAGTAATGGAGCCAATGAGGCTGATCGAGCCTGGTGCTTACTCGATGGTATTTGACCAGCTACGTCGCTCCCATCTTCGGTCAGACAGGGCTGAAGATAAGGAGCTTTCTGATGTGGTTCTTGCTTCGATTCGGACCCTGCTGTTTGGTGGTGGGATTTTGGATGAGCTAACGGAGAGATAAGATGCAGGAGCTTGGGCCAATCAGTGGGGTCAAAGCCCAGCTCCATGTGGGATGCGCCCTTCAACCCTCTGCTGATTGTCGATTGCTCAATTGCTCGACGTAAACTTTCACACTTCCTCTGGCTATCGCGTTGCGAAAAGACCTTCTCGATAGACATGGTTTCGCCAAATAGTCAATGTCTCTTACCAGAAACCGATTGCCGAGGGAACTCACACCAGCGCTGGCTCCGCGGAGGCGCTTTGCTCTTGAAGGCCGGGCCGGTCGAAGTGTGGGGGCCGATCGGCACGGTACTGCGGCACACCACACTACCTGCATCTCTCGCAAAGCCCTGTATGCATTTGCAACCGCGACCTTAACTTTCCTTGACCTGGATGACGATGCTTGGAACCTCGCGCACGGCCTTGCGATTCGGAACATAGCGTACGATGATGACGGAGCAGTCGTCCGCCTTCGAAATTTGTATTGATCGTTCAAAAGAGCTAGGCCTGATTGCCTTTCGGTGAGGCAACGCACAGCCAATCGGATCTGGTTCTCCCAGGGCTTCTCGAAATGCCAAGAGAACCTAACAACGGGCCGTGACCGCAGGGCCTGGACAGCCTAACACAGTACAGCGGTCGACTTCACTCAACCCATTTCGGGATCGCTTCAACGACGATGTTGCCGCCAATCGGCGCCCCAGGGATTACAACATACGCCAGAGAGTAGTTCTACGCAGCAGAGCAGGAACCACATTTCCCCAGGTGCGCGAGTGCGATTCCCACTCCATCCGTTCTCAAACGTCCCGACGCGACTGGGTTGCCCAGGCGCGCTGTTTCCGAGCCTTGTATAGACGACCGTTGATGACGAATCGCACCCCAACATCACGACCTGAGGTTGGCCGAAGAGAAGCTGGGTACCATGGCTCAAGACCAGAGCAAGCAGGGCCTGCTTCGCGAGACCGACGGACTCTCCGAAGATGGCATTGGGCTTGATTCCGACTCGGACATTGCTGCGACCAGGAATCTCGACCGCGAACCTCCCACATCCGGCCACGTGCTCCACGCCCAGATGAAGCGACAGCAATGGGACTTCATCCGGTTCTTGGGACGGCGCAGCCGATGCTGTATCGCCACGGTATCCACCATCATCGTGCTCTGGATACTCCTCAGTGCAGCCGGTGCCTTCTTCTACAAGAAATACCAGGAAGAGCCGTCATACGGCCAGTCGCCGCCGTGGTACCCCTCTCCGAAGGGCGGCATTGCAAAGAGCTGGGCCGTGAGCTACGAGAAGGCGGCCAAGATGGTGGAAAAGATGACATTGGCGGAGAAGGTCAACATTACAACGGGGACAGGGTGGCAGATGGGCTTGGCGGTGGGCACCAACGGGCCTGCCGTGCACGTTGGCTTCCCTCAGCTTCAACTGCAGGATGGACCCTTGGGCGTCAGATTTGCCGACAACATCACCGCCTTTCCGGCCGGTATCACCGTCGGCGCCACCTGGAACCGGCAGCTGATGTATGCCAGGGGCAAGGCCCACGGCATCGAAGCCCGCGGCAAGGGCATCAACGTCCTCCTGGGTCCATGCGTTGGGCCACTCGGCCGCATGCCAGCCGGCGGACGCAACTGGGAGGGATTCGGAGCAGACCCATACCTGCAGGGTGTGGCGGGCGCCGAAACTGTCAAGGGCATCCAGAGCGAGGGTGTCATGGCCACCATCAAGCACTTTGTGGCCAACGAGCAGGAGCACTTCCGCCAGCCGTGGGAATGGGGCCTCCCGCACGCCATCAGCTCCAACATTGACGACCGCACGCTGCATGAGCTGTACGTGTGGCCTTTTGCAGACGCTGTGAAAGCGGGCGTGGCCGCCGCTATGTGCTCTTACAATATGGTCAACAACTCGTACTCCTGCGGCAACAGCAAACTGCTCAATGGCATTCTCAAGGACGAGCTCGGCTTTCAGGGGTTCGTCATGAGCGACTGGCTTGCGCAGCACTCGGGCGTTGGCTCGGCGCTCGCCGGCCTCGACATGACCATGCCCGGCGACGGAGTGGGCTGGGCCAATGGCGAGTCGCTGTGGGGTCCGCAACTGAGCAGGGCTGTCCTCAACGGCAGCGTGCCAGTCAACCGGCTGAACGACATGGTGACGCGCATCGTCGCGGCCTGGTATCAGCTCGGCCAGGACGACGAGACCAAGTTTCCGCGTCAACCGCCCAATTTCTCCTCGTGGACCGACGATCGCATGGGCGTCCTGGCGCCGGGGAGCCCCAGCCCGCAGGACAAGGTTGTGGTCAATCAGTTTGTGGATGTCCAGGCTAACCATTCGGTCATTGCTCGCGAGGTGGCTGCTGAGGGCACCGTGCTCCTCAAGAACGAGGGTTTGCTGCCCATTACCCGCCAGGGTCTGGATGCGTCCAAGCTCGAGGTGCGGCGCCGTGATCTTGAAAAGCTCACTGGGAAGAGACACTCGGGCAAGTTCAAGATTGGCGTGTTTGGGGAAGATGCTGGCCCTGGAAACGGACCCAACCATTGTAAGGACCGAGCCTGGTAGGTTGACATTTTGAGTGTTTCCCGTCTTTCGTGCCAAGTTTTGACTAACTCCTGGCTGCAGCAACCAAGGCACGTTAGGTTCTGGCTGGGGTTCGGGGGCCGTTGAGTTTCCATATCTGGTCTCGCCCATCGAGGCCCTTCGCAAACAGTTTGACAGCTCCAAGGTCGAGGTTCACGAGTATCTGACCAACAAGCCTTCCCTGAACGACGACAAGACCATCGTAGATGACCTGGAGCTGTGCATTGTCTTCGCTAACGCCGATTCCGGCGAGGGGTTCGTCAAGTGGGAGAATGTGCGCGGCGACAGGCCGGATTTGAACCTGCAGCGGGGCGGCGACGATCTCATTGTTAATGTGGCGTCCAAGTGCGGCTCGGGTTCGGGCGATGTCATTGTCGTGATCCACGCCGTCGGCCCCGTCTTGATGGAGAAATGGATCGAGCTGCCGAACGTCAAAGCTGTCCTGCTGGCTAATCTCCCAGGCCAAGAGTCTGGAAACGCTCTTGCCGATGTGCTCTTTGGCGACACCAACCCGTCCGGCCATCTTCCGTACACCATCGGAAAGTCACTCAGCGAATACGGTCCCGGCGGACAGGTCCTCTATCTGCCGAACGGTGTTGTTCCGCAGCAGGATTTCTCTGAAGGCCTATACATCGACTACCGATATTTCGACAAGCACAACATCGACCCACGTTTCGAATTCGGCTTCGGCCTGAGCTACACCACGTTCAATCTCAGCAATCTGCAGGTCGCCTCACACAGGCACAAGTCTCCTCTCCCTGCACCCCGCCCGAGCCCAGCCGCAAACCCACCGAGCTACCCGACCACCATCCCGCCAAAGAGCGAGGTACTCTTCCCGACCGGCTTCCGCGCACTCGAGAAATACATCTATCCTTATCTCTCATCGGTGGACGACATTGAGCCCGGACAGTACCCCTACCCCGACGGGTATGACACGGCCCAACCGCTAAGCGGAGCCGGCGGCGACGAGGGCGGCAACCCGGATTTGTGGGCCATCTACGTCACCGTGACCGTGGACGTCAAGAACGATGGACCTGTCGCAGGGGCGGCGGTGCCGCAGCTGTATCTGGAGTACCCGGCCAAGGAGGGCGTCGAGTTCCCCATCAGGGTGCTGAGGGGCTTTGACAAGCTGTATCTTGCGCCTGGTGAGAGCCAAACGGTGCATTTCAGCCTGACGAGGAGGGATTTGAGTTATTGGGATGTCGCGGAGCAAAATTGGGTCATGGTTGCGGAGGGACAGTACAGGTTTAAGGTTGGCTTCAGTTCGAGGGATTTGCTGCTCACTGGGACATGGTGATCATTGGGATATAGACTAGACGGCGTTAAAATGCCGAATTCCCGTGTGTAGGGGGTTCAATGATCTTTTGAGCGGGTTGCATCAGACGGAGTCATGGTTGATGTTGGGCATCATCGTCCTAAAGTTCACGAAAACGTTGGCTAGATAATACGATATCAAGGTATTTATTTCTCTACTGCATACTCGGTATCGGGGGAGCATCTTCAGACTGTTACTTGCCGCAATGTCTGGTCGGTTCCCAGAAGAACAACTGAACTTGCCTCCTGTCTGGTTCTGAAAGAGCGAGTGCCCCTATTTCTGTTGTTCTTCAAGGGTTAGGGAATTGGTGCAGAATCGGTGGACATTGGTTCCCCCTAGACCCTGAAACTGCACAAGTGCCCCTCCCGCCGCTCGGATCAAGAGGCTCACCGCACCTTCATCCAACAATTGCCCACGTATCCGGGATCAAAACAGACACGCGGTCCTCTCCCCTGCGCCTTTTCTCCTTTACTTCCCCAACTCCGCCTTGCGGGCGACGTCCAGCTCTCTCGTGCGACAACACCGAGTTACCCCTCCGAGTCCATCTCTTGAAAGCGCACAATCTTCGAGTCGACCGGGAATAACGTAGCATCACGACCATGTCCGGCGCCGACGCCCCCGAGATTCTGGCCGCATACGACGCGGTGCGGTCCGACAAGGACGAGACCAACTGGCTGCTCATCTCGTACGCGGCGGCGACGGGCAACCAGCTGGTGCTGAGCAAGACGGGCACGGGCGGACTGGCCGAGTTAGTGGACGAGCTGGACGACGGGCAGGTGCAGTACGCCTACGTGCGCGTCGAGTACGCCAACGACGCCGAGAGCAAGCGCGTCAAGTTTGCTTTGATCGTCTGGATCGGCCAGGGCACAAAGGTCATGCGCAAGGCCCGCGTCAGCATCGAGGCCGGCGCCGTCAAGAAGGTGCTGTCGCACTTTAGCGTCCAGGTGGACGCCGACGACAAGCGGGATCTCAGCGAGGCCGATATTGTCGCCAGGTTACGCAAAGCCGGCGGCGCCGACTACAATGGCGGGAGGGGGTGACCGACTGGTCCTGTTTTACCTTACCTTCAAGGGGTGCCCAGGGGATTATTGTCAAGCATAGCGCGGTACGACGGAATAGATGGCTTCCATTCTCGTAATCATTCTCCTCGTCGATGGCGGCCAGCGGGTACACAGCAGCGGTGGCAAGGATCGGGACATGCAAGTCCTCCAAAATGCACCCTTCGGATTGTTCGGATTTGCGGAGTTAACAAAGGCACACTGCCCGGCAATTGCACAACCTCCATCACCACCTACAGTTAAGTCTCGAAAATCATCTGCTTGCTACCACTCCAAATATCCAGATTCCCCAGCTTTGAACAAGTTTGAGAACTACAATTTCTCATCCCTTCAGAGCCATGGCTCGCTTCTTTATCACCGGATCCTCCGATGGCCTCGGCTTGCTAACTGCCAAGCGTCTCATCGCCCAAGGCCACCAAGTCGTCCTTCACGCACGCAATGCAGATCGCGCCCGCGACACCTCGGCCGCTTGCCCCGGCGCCGAAACGGTGCTGGTGGCAGACCTGAGCAGCATTGACGAGATAAAAGCCCTCGCCGCCGAAGCGGACAAGCACGGCCTCTATGACGCAATCATCCACAACGCCGGCGTCTACCTTGGGATGGATCGCGTGCCGGGCAAGTCGGGACTGCCGACTCTTTTTACCGTCAACACGCTCGCTCCCTACTTGTTGACCTGCCTGATGGCCAGGCCCAAGCGGCTCGTCTATGTCTCGTCGGGCATGCACAGGAGCGGACGGCCGAACTTGGATGGCAAGGGACAACACCAGATCCTCCGGTCTAGCTACAGCGATAGCAAGCTGCACAATGTCATGTTTGCCAAGGCCTTTGCCCGTCGCTGGCCGAACATTGGCTGCTACTCTGTCGATCCGGGATGGGTTCGTTCCCTGTTTGCTGATTCACGCTTTTAATCACCGAGCTAGAGCTGACCTTTTGGGTGAAAAGGTTCCGACAAAAATGGGTGGTTCCTCCGCTCCAGGGCGGGTCGCGGATGGGGTTGATACCTTTGTCATGCTTGCGTTGGGTCATGGGGAGGCGGGATGGAGTCCCGGTGGCTATTTTGTCGACTCACGCGAGAGTCAGCCGAGTGCGGTGGCAGGGGACGTAAGGCTACAGGACCAAACTTCTGGCCGAGCTGACCCAGATCAGTGGTGTCCCAGTCCCTGAGTAAGTGCAGAGGGTGGTTTCTGAACTCTCTGGTGAACTGTCTTGTGTGGTGACCCCAGGCTCAAAGGGAAGCGTTTGCTGGCAGGCTCGAGAGTGCCGCACCAGACACAAAAGATTTAAACAGTTGCCATTTCCGTCTATATACAGATACTGTGCAACAGACTGGACTCAGTTGGCAAAATCATGGATGTCAGCTCTGATCCCACTCCTTTACCGCCCCCGGAATGACCTGCTCATGCATTTTCTATGCCTTTCCCAAATCCGCCGGGATGCTGGCGCTTGTATTATGCAATAGAAGTTGACTTCGGACGTTAGCTAACAGCTGCCTACTCGGTTGCTACTTGATTTGTTTGTAGTCCGCAATGCCATTACGATAGTGGCTCGCTAGCACATCATTATGGCAAGTATTGATCCATGACGCAAACTCAAACCGGATCCAAAATCAGTTCGATATTACCTGTAGGCAAGTCACATCGATGATCGAATTATTTACAATCGCCATTGGTCCGATCTGAGGCCAGTAAGACCGCAAAAACGGCACGTTCTGATGCAACTGTCTTAAGATTTGACCTGGGTGATATATCATACTGTGGCGTGATGGCGTTTGTGGGTTGCCATTTCATTTTTGCAATCAGCTAGTTAACGGCAACAGGCCTCTGCTTATTAGCATTAACGACTAGTTCTAGGGCCAAGGTCCAGAACGGTGTGTTGTTTGGGATCGTGATATATATGGGAGTCAACAAGAGCAACAAGTGGCCACGTTCCCTCTCTCCTTCTTGTCATCGCCCGGAACTTGATCGCTACTATCCACCACCTGACCCGTAAATCAAACGAGATGCACCCCATGGGCTTCTTCGGCAGACACCGCCTGCTCTCGCTCGGCTCCGAGGCAGGCGAGAACCGTGCAAACAGCCTTACAGACAACAGGCTTCCGATGCTCCGGCAAGGTACCTGGCCGTCGGGAGCGCGCACCAACTTTGTTGCAGGGCTGGGTGAGTTTGTCGGCACCTTCCTGTTCCTGTTCTTTTCCTTTGCCGGTACCCAGATTGCCAACACGCCTCCTCCCATGCCGCCCGCCGGCGGTGGCCCTCCCCCGCCCGACGCGTCCAAGCTCATGTTCATCGCCCTCGCCTTTGGCCTGAGCTTGATGGTCAATGTCTGGGCCTTCTACCGAGTCACGGGTGGATTGTTTAACCCTGCGGTATGTGCGCCTCTAACTCCATCAGTCAAGCTTTGTTGTGTGCTGACCTCAACTCGCCCTTCGTGAACCTCTTAGGTTACCCTCGCCCTGTATCTTATCCGCGGCCTCTCTGTGGGTCGCGCTCTCGTAGTCGCGGTGGCCCAGTTCCTGGGCGGCATCGCTGCTGCTGCCGTTGTCTCGGGTCTGTTTCCCGGCCCGCCGGCGTTTGCCACGACTCTGGGTGGAGGGGCAAGTATTGCCCAGGGGCTCTTCATCGAGATGTTCCTCACCACTCAGCTTGTCTATGTCATCATCATGTTGGCGGCCGAGAAGCACAAGTCGACCTATCTCGCCCCGATTGGGATTGGAATCGCCTTTTTCCTGGCCGAGCTCATTGGTGAGTTGAAGCCTCAATCGTCCTCGCGGTCAGCTGCACGGCGGGTCTTGTTAAGGTGCTGACGCGATCTGAAGGCGTTTACTTCACTGGCGGCTCGTTAAATCCTGCTCGCTCCCTTGGACCAGCCATCGTGAACCACAATTTTCCCGGATACTTCTGGATTTACTGGCTCGGCCCGTTGCTCGGGTCGCTTCTTGCCTGCGGCTTCTATTTCTTGCTCCAGTATCTCAAGTTCAGGGACGTCAATCCCGGTCAGGATCGGTGAGTGTCGTCCGGCTCCGCCGTGCTTCAGACACCTTGGTTCTGAGCTGACCTTGGACAACAGGGATGACGAAGAAAAGTTCATACGCGAAAAGCACCAAGACGGAGAAAGGTTTGTGCGGGAAGAGCACCACGACGGTGGGCCGCCGACCTCTGAGCACAATGAGCTCGGGGATGCCACAAACCGTGGGAACCATGCAGCTGTTGGAGTGCAGACCGAGCCATAGTGGGGAGGTGAGCAGGTTCGCATGCATGCGGTCCTAAAAACTTGAATTGTTCGCATGTGGTGTGGAGGGGACGAGTGTTGTGAAATCAGCCTTGTGGGCAGAAAGACGGCTCTGATGGTTCAACTTCGGCCTCGCGTTGAATGTGCGATGGAGCGGCGTAGCATGAGCAGCGGCGGAAACGGATGGTCAGTCTAGAGGAGGTGTAATAAAGGAATAGGATAACCCGTTAATCTTGAGGGTCACCGCCTCAGATTGCCGGCACCGCGGGCTGTGCAGAGATGTGTAAATCCATCTAGCGCTCATCGGAACATGCTCTTTTATCATCCAGGACATCCGTGGAGGCGAAACGACAAAATCTGCAGTTCACCCTTTTAGTCCCAGTAAAGGCCGCTCTCTGGGCCCTGCTTGATATAGTAGAAGTCGCTGCTGTTTTGACTGGAGTCCGATGTCGAGTTGTCGACCTAGGTGACTCGGATTCCTCGAACTCACCCGGACGAGGAGGTAACGGATATCGCAGCCAGACGCCCCTCGTATCCCACCAATCCCGAGCCTTCTGCTCCCATTCCAGTCCTAAACCACCCAGATCTACAAAGACATTCAATGGGAGCTCGACCACAACACGTTTCTCCCGCACTAATGGCGGGGAGCGGGCCACAGCGTCGGCGATCGGTCGCAAAAGCATGCGGTCAATTTCGGGAAGGGCGTCGGCAGGCCGGACTTTGCCATGGTTGTACAGACAGTCCTGGAGAGAGAGTACAAGGGAGCGCAGGTTCGGAAATGGATGGCACAAGTGACGGAGATTGGCCGCCAGCCGAGCCCTGTCCTCATCCGGATTGTGTGTCCGGCCACGGCCCAGACGAACAGGATTCCCAAACAGAACGAGCTCCCACCGTAGCTCCAGGGACGTAATCCATGCTAGGCGCTCCGGTAGAATCAGATGACGAGGTGGCTGAAGAGGACGTCACTCTCGATGGAATACATGTTTGTAGAATAGAGAACCTCAATGCCCTCGAGGTAAGCCTGCCGGCACGCCAGCAGCCACCCCATCGCGCCGACCTTGCATTTTCCTGGAGCCGCGATCATCTCGGGCGGCCACAAAAAGCAGTACATGGCCTCGCCCCGGAGACATTTATCGGTGTGAGGTCCAGGGGGATAGTGATAACCATCTCTCGCCAGGGCATGGCGCTCCCACCGGGAGCCAGGTGGGAACATGCGATGGCACACGCAATTGGTCCACCGCCAGGCACGGGGTGCGTCGTCTGCGGGGAAGTAGTAGGGGCTCAACGGTGTTGGAACGTGAACCCTGATTCAGGGGTGCCAAGACGGACCCACATGTGGCTGGTGATAGACACCCTGGAGGCTGTCTGGAACATCGGACAGTTGAGAACACAGAACACAATCATCATCAGAAACAACCAAAAATTGACATCCTCGTGACACTCTGCGACCACTGACCATTTTCCCCTTCGTTTGCCTCGTAGCGGTTCCGACAAACGGCGACACGCCGAAGCCGTGAACGGGCGCGGTGCTGGCGTCAAAATCTGGCGTCAAGCGGTCGCACGCCGAAGCGCGCCGTGGGGGTGCGAATTGCATGTCCAAATGCAATGTGCGGCTCCCAAAGGCTGCCGTCAGGGTACGCCGGCGTAGCTCGGGAGGCAGTCGAGCCAACGTGCCGAGAGTGGCCGGGGATTGCTCCGAGACGGCTGGCGTTAGAGGACGCGGCCGCTGGGCAGGGAGGAACGGGAGTGAATCTGCATCGTGTTCCTCATTTTCAATTCCAGGCCTTCTGTTTTTGCCTTGCCCGGATGGACTGGAGCAGCCGGCGAAAGCCGTTTGAGACAAAACCGAGGTTCTCTGCTGACATTGAACGACGCCTGAATCCATGTGGAATGTAGGTAGGAGCAGGGAATCTGCTGCCGGACGACCTCCCTGAGTCCTCTGTTCAAACCAAGCCATGGGTCGGAGAGCCGGAAGAAGGTATCGCGAAGCCGCGTTTTGCCGGCGAAGAATCCAATGCACCGAAATCGCGTTTTCGGCGATTTTGTGATGGCCATTCCGTTTGATGCCCCGGCACTACAAAAGGCTGACTAAGCCACGGTCAACACCACGGCGGGCATCATTTTGATGCATTCGCTGATCAAGGAGTGTCGGCATTATGCATTGTTGAGCGGGACGACCACGAAGCTCCTCGGCCCTCACGAGCCGTTATACTGCGCCGTCAGCTTGCATGCAGCAATCGGCAACCACGTGGCCAAACTAGGGTTACGAAATGTGATTTGCATATTCGATCTTCAAGCCCAACCCATGAAAAATTTCATTTCCTAGGACCATGAAATTCGAGGAAATGGGTGACTAAGCCAGGGTTAGCATGCAATCCTAGGGAATACAGGGCCAAGATGGTCAAGAACTTACTCAATTTTCTGGTAATCTAAGACAGTCCGGCAAATACCTTCAATCTGCTCGGTGATAAGCTGTCGGCCATCATTTAAGCTATTCGCAGTCGTGGTTTGAGTGCGTCGTGGTGGTTGGTGTGGTTTTGAGCGGTCTGCGGTGCATTTCATGGTTTGGGATGGTGGTGAAATTTGTGGCCCTCCGTGCCTGACTAAGGTGGTAGAATTCTATTCCCATACGTAACCCTCGCTCAGCTCAGAACAGGGATGGCAAGGCTCAACGGTTACCTCCATCGGATTGGAGCAGTACCGGCAGATCAGTGCGTGTGCGGGCAAGCCACAGAGATAGTAGACCACTTCCTCTTCCGATGCAGAAAATGGACGGCATACCGAACGGAGATGCTCGAATGCACAGACACCCACAGAAGCAACATTTCGTTCTACGGATTACCTAGGAGGGAAATCGCCATCGGATAAGAAAGACTGGACTCCCAACATGGCAGCCGTCCGGGCAACCATACGGTTCGCAATGGCCACAGGGCGCCTTGACACGAACCAACCGCAGGCCGACTAAACCACCCAACCCACCACAACACACCCAACCCACACCCCTCACCTCGTGCCACGGACAGCAGGCACCGCTTCAGCCGCCGAAGATAGGACGTTGAACACTTGCAGAATCGCCTTCAAGCCAGCCTACTTAACAACCCTACTAACCCACGAGAATCCGCAGAGGAATCGTATAAGAGAGGACATGAACTAGAATGAACTTTGTATGGGCTCCGACGAGATCAAGACATATCTTGGGATATGTATAGTTAGTCAGATTGTAATAGTTTCCCTTTCGGGTTATCCGCCGGGCGTTGATAAATTGTATTGTATTGTATTGTATTGTATTGTATTGTATATAACCCTCACCCAATATTCACTGCGCGCCGAAAAGAGGAAAAAGCGGAAATCTAAGGGAATGGCTAGATCGCACACGGTCACGGCTATATAGCACGGCGCTATCCCTGATTCGGCAGGGCTCCCGCGGTGCCCGTGCAGTGGTACAATCGTGAACTTCATGACAGCTGCCAAGTGGAGGCACAGAAGCTGCGTCGGCTTGATCAATCGCGTTCAATTGAAGTCAACGCAAATAACATGAGCTCGTTCCCATTGCTTTTGTGATATTCTTGAAGGTACTGACTATGAACTACACATTTACGGCTTAGCAGTGTGCTCCATGCAGCTGCTTGCGATTGTCAGCTACTGCGGGTTAGCAGCATCCTGGCGGTAACAGGTTGTGGATGGAAGTTGAAGCGGGAAGTTGGGGCAGCAGCCGGCTGCTGTAGTGTGCTTTGGGCAGACGCCGGCCTGTGGCCCGCTTGGCAGCTGTCAGGAAATTCACGATTGTACTGCTGCACGGGCACCGCGGGAGACCTGCCGAATCAGGGATAGCGCCATGCTATATAGCCGTGGCCGTGTGCGATCTAGCCGTTCCCAAATTTAAAATCCGGAAATGGGAACTCCATTTTCAGTTTAAGACCCCTTTTCCCCCGGCTCTCTGAGATTCCGTAACCCTAGGCCGAGCATGCCATTCCGGGCTGGAAACATTACCTAGCACTTGGTGCCATCCTGTGGGGGCCGTAACCTCAGGTGTTATTTGACAAAACCCAGACCTCCTTTCGAGATTGCGTTGAACGGGGTGGTCACTCTGAGAGTGTCTGCTTATCGTACCGAGGCCGGGTTCTCGAAGGAGAGTTCAAATAATGCACCAACTGTTCGTGGAGGGGCGGGGGCGTGGTAGGCCGGGCAGGGGAAGGTGCATCGAAGCCGGCCAGTGGTGCACTGGTGAGTGAGGGACATACATGGCCATGGAGACGTTTGCGTTAAGAAAACCACTCACGGCCCTGCAAGACCCCTTTCATTTTCGCCGAGTACAAATACGCACGACGACTTTAGACGTGTTGCTCGCATTGGTAGGCTAGGTACCGGTACCTAACTAGGGAAACGTTGCTGCCCAGCCGGCACCGCTACTCAAAGTGACTCTAGAAATTCAGAAGCCAGCTACTCTTGTTAATAAGGGATATCCCATCTTCCCTCCACTTCAACCGGCGTGCGAGCTTTTCTCGTAGGGCTGAAGCACGACCACCGCAGAGCTGTCCCAACACATGCAGGCATCGGCAAGAGCCAACCAGGGCAAAACGGGCCAGGGCGCTGCAACATCAGGCTTCCTTAAACATGGATCGTTGGAGCTAATAAACGTGGCTTCTCGACGAGAGTTTGACGTTTTGGGTAGCCGGTGCGGGCGGTACTGCAGCGAGCTCGGTTCTTGGCTGCATCAACATCCTCAGCCGCACCGCAAAGTCAATTTTCCGATGGCTTGCTTAGGCCGTATTCTCCAGGGACAAGAGCAATGCCTCATTGTGGCGTTCCGCATGTTTCACGCGAACCCATTTCTCCCCGCGGCCCTGCTGGTGATACCTATTTCTTGACTCACGTCAAGGCGATGCCCCATGGCCACACCTTGTGCGAGGATTTCCTCTATTTATCTACTCGATGGAATAGCGCAGACACTTGCTTGTTGCCCTGGGCTCTTTCTATCGTTTGCTGACACTCGCACGTTGTTATCGTGGCCAGCTGTCATCCGCTCCTTAGATCTTTTCTTGGTCAAGCATGGCGTCTGTTTGGGGGCTTGGGAGGCTTGGGAAAAGGAACAGCAGGAGAGTGAAGATTTCAAGTAGGTTTGTCATCTAACCTGCGGCAATACTTACCTCACTAATCGCCGACCAGAAAAAGGCAACCCAACGTCGAGGCCGTTTTTCACGCGGATCTATGGCATTGCGACAGCGCTAGCCGTCACGCTGGCACTCCTTGGTGTCATTATATTTCTCAAAAAGACCCTTCCTAATGGCTCAACATCATCGTTTGCGCTACCCCCTACGCCCACGTTACAGGCACGGGAGGATGAGGGCAGATCAGACGGAGGACTGGACGCCCGAGCAGTCCTTACGGTCGGGGAGAGGCCTCCTCTGGAACCAGTGGCAACCATCAATTTCCCGGTATTCTTTAGCAGCACGGTGTCTTGCACGACAATCGAGATTCCTGGCAGGATGGTGAAACGGCAAGGGTACAGATCGACAAGTTGCTCGACGAGCTACTTTGCTGTGACGCCCACGCGGCCGCAGATATCGTCGTCCACAACGTCCGTACCGCCCACAACGAAGATCGACAGTCCTTCGGCGACCCTTGGTCCTTGTATGACAAGTCGGATTACCTGTGGGAGTAAGGACTGCAGCACAACGTATTTTTCCATTGGGGACTGCAGCGCAACATCTACCTCAACGACGATATCATCATCCTCGTCCTCTTCGAGCACTATCTTCACCACGACTCGTCCCCCCATGACAGCCACTACACCAAGTTCGGCCTCAAGAACCATCCCCCCCGCTACTTCCAAGCCCGCAAACACAAACACATGTCTCGGAAGCACGGTGTCTTGCACGACGAGCCAGATCATTGCCCGAGGAGGAAGGAGAGCCGAGCAGGTCTATTGCAGCACCTCTTTTCACAGACTAGAGGCGTGCTTGACAACATCGATGACGCCAACGACGACGACTACTCCTCGATCTGTCTCTCAGGTCACCAGCCAGATTACTCCAAGCACCTCAGTCACTTCGACTTCGACAACCATGACGGTATCCAGCGCAACATCTGCGTCGACAACCTCAAGTTTCCTTCCCTCGAACCTCCCAGCCAGTTCTACCAGTACATCCATGTCGGAGACCACTAGCCGCAGCTCAAGCATCGTCTCGAGCTCCGAGGACGCCTCGAGTGGCCCCCTGCCCAGCATGACTTCAATAACCTCTACACTCCTATCATCCTCCACAACGACATCCGTCTCGTCATCCCTATCATCCTCGTCGCCACAAACCCCGTCACAATCATCAACTGCGCCAACCTCACCAACGACCTCTTCAGAATCCTCAACCCTGCCATCCACGGACCCATCGCCTTCTACCCCATCATCCACAGCTTCTTTGAGCTTGCCATCCACAATCTTATCGTCCACAGGCCCGTCATCCTCGGAATCCTCGTCCTTGCCGCCCATGACCTTATCGCCTTCAACCTCACTATCATCATCATCCGCGACCTCGTTATTCCAGCCACGTCCGACTTCGTCACCGTCTGTATCATCTCTGTCATCACCTTTGTCGTCTTCCCTGTGGACGGCGTCGTCTTCATCCTCTTCCGGCCAAAGCACGCCCTCAACGTCGGCTCCCGAGACTTCATTGGCTTCAGAAACCACCTTGAGTCTGCAAGCACAGTCGACTGCCTCTGTGACGGGCTCTGCTTCCGGGGCGTTGAGTGGGATGTCTGAGACGCAAGAGTCGACGGTCACACCATCCGCATCGGCCGCACGGGAACCTACCGATGTTTCTGTCTCTGAGCAGTCATCGGCTCTAGGCCCTACGGGGACAAGCCGCACAGCCACGCTGGATCCAGTATTGACGACATCAGCCCTGCAGACTCCAATCATACGGTCAGAGACAGCTTCCAAGGCATCCACCTCCCCGGCCACGACCTCTAACCAACTCACGATTTCAGCATCCTCACGAGCGACCTTAATCACATCGTCAAATACAATGTCTAAGCCGTCCACCTCCCCAGCTACGACCTCAGTGCCATCGTCATCCAGTACCTCGGACGCGCCAACTGCTGCGCCTCAATCCATTGATTCAGCTGGCTCACCAACAACAAGTGGAGCCTCCACATCATCCCCGTCGACCGCACTAGGAGGCGGTTTCACATGGGAGGTGACTCAGTCGGTGGCAGGGCACCACGCCCCACTGATTTTGGCGAGAGGATTCATGGTGATGATGGGGGCTTTCTACAACCAGCAGATCATTCACGAGCCCGTGAGGAAGATGCTGGGGTCGGGGATATCCGGGGGAGAATTGGCTCAGCTGTCGTTTGGTGCCGGTAGACTCGGTCTTATCATGGGCCAGTTCGGTTCGATATTTGTCGCCGGCACCTCGTTCGTTGATGTGGACTACTGTGAGAGAGACGGCATCGCGACCGGCATGACGCCTTGTCCTCCAAGGATTAGCGGCAACCCTTGGGTGTTTGATGTGATTATCTCGGTCCTCGTCGTCCAGGCGTCCATGGTCCTCTATTCCTTGACTAAGTGGTTCCAAAAGCCGGGCGGGATTTCGGCAGACCCAACCACCATTGCCGGGGTCGCAGCGGTCATGGGCCATCCCGAGGTCGAGCAGCTGTTTTCCTCGTTCCCAGGTGACATGTCTGAGGATGAGTTGAAGGACGTTCTCAAGGGCCACAAGTTCATGCTCGGCGAGTTTGCGATGGAGGACGGCATCGTTAAGTACGGTATCATGCCTGTGCCTCTGGAGGACAGACAGGACGAAGACGACAACAATGGTATTTTTGGCAGGATTGGCCAGCAGTTCAGCGGGGTTAGGGAAAGATTGGCAGTCCCGGCCAGTTGGAAGCCAACTCCCTTGGTGGTTGATCTGTGTTTTGGAGTGTTTATACTTGGTCTGCTCGGTCTTGTCCTGGCCGCCTTGGCTACGCTCGACCAGCCGGAATTTCTCTTTCCCCAATCCGTCACCTCCAACAGAATAGGCATGAAGATAGGCCTTGGCCTCCTCGGCGTCCTGATCTCCCTCTATTGGGGCAGAATCTTTCAAGGTATTCGGTTCACTTAACCCCTTACCGAATCCCAGCTCGCTGACTTTCGTGAATAGAGACGCAGACCATGACGCCTTATCAACGCCTGTACCACTCCTCTTCCCACCCCTTCCCAACAATTCTTCTCCGTCGACACACCTCTCCGCTCTGCGCCATCCTCCCCCTCCTGCGCACGGCGCACCTGATGGCGGCCTCAGTCGCAATCACCGCCTTGCTCAGCGAGGTCCTCATTGTCACACTCGCAGGCATCGTCCTTCCACAGCGCGTCGACGAACTTCAGGCCGGGTCACCGACAGAAACCCTTATCTGTGCCGCCATCTCGGCAGCAATCTTGCTTCTGATGCTCATCCAACTGGTCGCAATCCTGATCTGGCGCCGGGCAGGGCCAAAGATGCCGAGACGGCCCGGCTCGATTGGGATGGTCATGACGTATCTTGCTGGCACCGAGATGGTGAGATCGTTCTATGGCCTTGACAAGTTGACCAGCCGGGAAAGGGACCGCATGGTGTGCAGCAGGGGCAGGGTGTACGGATATGGATGGCGGAAGGAGGGGGATGCTGGGTGGTGGCGCGCGGTTGTTGAGGAAGTTGGCGAGTCGGCAGAAAGGAGGGGATTCTTAGACGATGGGAGTACAAACAGAGGGGAAAGGGGAAGGGAGGAGGGGAGGCTTCTGACAAGGTGGTTTTAAAAGTGAGAGTCTAAGTAATGGCAGGAAAATCTACGTAGACACTTGAGGCGTTGAATACCTCTGTTACACTGCAATCCCCCAAACGAGGACTTGAGTATACCCAGTAAGCACTGTGTTGTCGAGTCAAGTGTCTATGAAGAAACGAACCGCAACATAAGGTTCCTTTCAAAACACTGTCCTGTATCCAGCGCTCCAGCGCTCGAGATACAGGTTGACTGACGTACTGGCTCTCATAAGCCAGTAAGCAAGGTACAATACCTACTCATCCAAGGATTTTCTACATTATAACGCGATCAGTGCCAGCGGCAAGTGGATTGGCTAAGAGCCAACTTGAATCCTTCCTCATGTAGAACTGACATCACGACCGAGTCTCGGGAGTATATCTTCGCTGCTCCGTTTTCTTCGTGATGCCCACGAGGGTTGGAAATTGAATTTGACGTGGCTATTGGAGCAAATAGTTACTCCATAATCCTTATCTATTTATCCATGTGCCTAACTAAATGCGAGCGAACTCACCTTAGCTGAACGGAGTCTTCTCCGTCGTCCAATAACGAGCTAACTTCAACACATAATTGAACCAAAACCGAACAGTCCCTCTTTTGCAACCAATGGATAAGCTGGCGCGTGGCAGAAGCCTTTTAGCTTGGCTCTCTTGGCTGGGTTTCGGCTTGTTGCCACTCGCCACCAACCCTGAAAGTTTGAGCCGTCCCTCTTCAACTTCAGTTCATCGTCCAATCTCCACACCCCACAACGGTGCTACCGACTCCGCTGCCGCCCAGAGCACATGCAAGCTCTTCGACCTTGACGACAGTAAATGACCAGCGAGGTCACGATTTTGCGGTCATTTTAATTATGCTCGCCGACAATGCCACGGCCCCTCCCGCTGCGGCCGGGGTGCCGGCGGGCAACGGGCCCACCTGCGCCGACGAGGTGTTGAGTTCCGAACGCGCGCGGCAGAGGGAGATCGCAGCGTGAGCCATCATCAATTTCCATCAGTTGACTTTCAGGCTCTTCTTGTCTCGGTTGTCTGATCCCAGCCAGCATACTCCCCTGTGCCTGAGAGAGACATAGCTAACCTTCGGGGCCCGGCTCCTCCAGATACCTCTCCGCCGCCTCCTTTCCCCCAGACTTGCACCCGGGGCACTTCGATAGCACGCCGCTCCTCAACCCGGACCCCACACTCAACGCCCTTGTCCAGCTGGGCGCCCTACGACTCGGCTGTGATCGTTCGTTCCTCTCCTTTATCGACCGACAGCACCAGTTCGTGGTGGCCGAGATGACACGGTCAAACTCCCTCATAGAGATTTACTCAGACCCAGGCGACGAGGTCTACCTGGGGATGGCCAAGCTCGATGTCTGTTATGGCGTCTGCCCAACCACCATGAAGGCCTTTATGGACGAGACAGGGGAATGGATCCGAACAGGGCCCAACATCATCGCAAACAGGAGCCGATACATCGTCAATGACTTCCGCACTGAGCCAGACTACGTCGACAGGGCCTATGTGAAGGGCTTCCCGTTCTTCACGTCGTACCTGGAGGTTCCGCTCATATCGCCCCTGGGGTATATCCTGGGCAGCTACTGCGTCGTGCACAACGACCTGTACGACTTCAACAACGATAAGACCGTTGGAATCATGAACGACATAGCCGACACCATCATGGCACATCTGGATCTCATGCGGATGAAGCAGGGCCGGAACCGTTCCGAACAGCTCATCAAGGGACTAACCGAGTTCATCGGATCCGAGCCACACCTGCCGCATTCCGTTCAGTCAAACCTGGGCTACGACCCGGCCGAGGTCTCGCCCACCGTATGTGGTGTGCCCGGTTCGACCGATCCCCAGCAGCCGATTTTTTCTCGCCCTACGGTGGAGCCGGAATCCCCGACGGCGCGTTACGACGCAGCCGACACAGCGCAGGAGACTCAAGACGTTGCCTCCTCACATCCTGAACTGCTAGAAGCTCCGGCCAGCAACCATATGCTTGACACGGTGCAGATGACCACAACTGGGGCCTCATCGGAACCTGAGAACTCAGTTGAGCGGCAAGGAGCTCTGGCAAACAACGACCGGGTGGACACGGCGCAGATGTCCCCAACTGGGGCATCTTCCAAAGACTCAGCTGAGCGACCAGAACGTTTGCCCAGCGATGGTATGGCCGACACGGCTCGGACGGTTCAAGATGGGGCCCCCTTGGAACATAGACACTTAGCTGAGCAGCAAGAAGCGCCGCCGAGTAAAGATGTGGTTGACACGGTGCATATGACTAGGCAGATGGGGGTTACGGTCCCTCTTGGAAGCGCAGATCAGGGGAAAGAACCCGCATCAAGCTATGAGGCTGTTGAGCCTGAGGGACTGCCGGGGAATGATAGGGTGGCTGACAAAGTGGTGGCCAATACGGTGCGGACTGGAGATCAGCCTCCACCGGAGAGTTCACCTCCAGACACCCACAGTTCAATCGGAGTATCAGCACGCCCGGGACCAAACGGAGCCGAAGCAGCACTGTCTGCTGGTCCGTCCCTACCGATGTCGATATCCTGCACCGTAACAACACTGGCATCAACATATGCAGCAGCTGACCGACAGGGACATGCTGCAAGCGATCAAACGGAGCCTGTTGCGAGAGCACCATTAGTGTGCGACACCACTGACGCTACCCGCCCAGCACTAAACCACGCCCACACGCACACATCGTCCGAGCAGTCCGCCTTTTCGAGCTTATTCTCTCACCCTGGCGATGGCGAGGACAACGAGACGCCTCCCACAACAATGAGGGGCGGGACAAACTTGACGAATCACATGGAACGGGTTGATTGCGCTACCGCCGATGGCATGACGGATAAAGACGGGCCTGCGAGGATAGATGGTGATGGTGATGGTGGCGGTGGTGGTCTAGACATGCCAACTTCAGGCGACACGTCATCCAACAATGATGCGCACGAGTCGGCAAGTGGGTTCCTGGGTTCGGCGCATATCAAGGCCGCGTTCTTCCGAGCTGCATCCACGATCCAGCGCTGCATGAACCTTGACGGTTTCATGTTCCTCGACGCGGTGCCCAGCACTTTCACCGACCGTTCGGATACTTCGAACCGAGACCGCCAACACCCCGCGAATGATGCGGACGAACATGGCGGAACCATATCGGGGCCATTCTGCACCGCGATTGTCCGGTGTTTAGGCGGCAGCGGAAGGGGGCATGCTATGCGTTCGCCTCAAACTCGGTTTCCCGAAGCCGCCCTTCAGAGATTTATTCGCAAGTTCCCACGAGGCCACGTCTTCTCGGCCGACGAATTCGGACCCATCGACGAGACCTACGGGATTGGAAAACGCTTCCCCGGCGGGCGCAAAGGGGATCGGGACAGCGTCGCCCTGCAGCGGGACGTGGGCGTGCTTTTCCATGGCCTCCCGGGTGCGAAATACGCGGTTTTCCTTCCCCTGTGGCACTTCCACCGAGAATGCTGGTACACTGCCGCCCTCGGTTGGGTTTCGGATCCCACGCAAGCCGTCGACGAGACCGACCTCAGCCTAGTGTCGGCGTTTGGTACATCGGTCATGGCCGAGGTGTCTCGCCTCGAGGCCTTGGCGGCCAGCAATGCCAAGTCTCACTTTCTTTCCTCCATCAGCCACGAGCTGCGCAGCCCGTTGCACGGCATCTTGGCGAGCAGCGAGCTGCTCCGTGGCAGCATTTCGGATCCGACCCTCCTCTTCACGCTGGACATGCTCGATTCCTGTGGGACGACCCTGCTGGATACCTTCAACAATTTACTTGACTACGCTATGGTCATTGGCGACGGCAAGAGTGGCGCAAGAGAGCCCCCTGTCGTCACGAAACAGGCTGATCTTGGGAAGTTGGTAGAAGATGTTGTCGAGACAGTCCACTTCAGCCACCTGTCCGAGGTCGCCGTCCGGACATCGCCAGACCAGAAGCGGACGTATGCTGTGAACCCCTTGTCCGAAGCAGCTACACAGGACGTCCCCCCGGATCCCGCCGTGCCGCTCATTACAGTCAACGTCGCGAGGAGCCTCAATTGGGAATTGGACATCGATGTCGGGGCCTGGAAGCGCATTGTCATGAACTTGTTTGGAAATGCCTTGAAATACACAAAGTCTGGCCGCATCGAGGTCTCGCTTCGAGTGGCCACCAAGAACGTCAGCAACAAGGGTCACTTTGACGTCGACCACATCGTGTTTACAGTGGAAGACACCGGCGTGGGCATGAGCTCTGACTACATCAAATACCGACTCTTCCAGCCCTTCTCCCAGGAGAACACTCATGCGGCAGGCATGGGCTTAGGCCTGAGTATCGTCCATCAGCTGGTGAACAGCATTGGTGGGACTATCAATGTCAAGAGCTCGGTAGGCGTAGGCACCACTGTCCAAGTTCGGGTCCCGCTGGAGTTCGGAAGAGGCGACATTTGCCCCAAGATGGATACATGGACAACCTCCACGAAAGTTGAGGGTGGAGATGGACGCGAACGACAAGGCGTAGAAAGCCAGCCGGACGCACGTCGCCCATATGTTGAGCATTCCCACGATCTCGCGGGGAAGAAGATATGCTTTATCCCCCCCGCGTTCCAAACGTCCGCGATGCACTCAGAGTCCGGAGTCAGTGGCGGTCTGAGCAGTCTCCCCCCGCATGTACAAAAATGCTCCGAGGCCCTCGAGCGGGCGCTGCGAGCATCCGCCCATGACACCCTGGGCATGACCGTGATTGTTGGGACGGCGGAATGCCCCGTTCCTGAAGCTGACATTTACTTCAGTGAGGGCGGCAGCTTCACTGGAATTGCGAACAGCCCCGGAAAATCTGTTGCTGACCGGCTAATGTCGCAGTTTGTCCGGCCCGTTGTCGTGGTCTGCTCCGGGCCGGGACCTCGTGGATGCCCAATGAACCAGAGTCTGATGGGAGAAGGAGGCTGTGGAATCCACTTGCATCACCCTGTCACGCCGACCAAGCTTGTTGCTGCGATACGCTCCGCCCTCAAGAGCGGCGCCTCTCGCAGGGAGCTTGACGGACCCGCGATACCGCAGCCAGCAATCACACGGTTGGCCGAGTCCAAGTCGGAAGCAGCCTCCTCTGCTGTCGGTGTTGGAGAGCCACTGCCGCTGCGTCCAAAACCACCAGAGACAGAGTCAGAGGTACAAACCAGTGCGGTGAGCAGCGACAGGAAGATCAGCAACCCCCTGTCCGCGAAATCCCGGGGCCCGACGCAAGAACCTGCTTCCATTTCTACCAAGGAGAACACCTACCCTGCTACTAGCCCCATACAACCACCACTACCATCAGCAGATGAAGGGCACTACCTGCTCTTGGTTGACGACAACCCAGTCAACATCAAGCTTCTCTCCACACTGATCAAGAAACTAAAACAGCCGTTCGAAATAGCACGCAATGGCCTTGAGGCGGTGGAGCAGTACAAGGAATCTCTGTCCACCCGTTCTCACCGGCCGGTCAACATCGTGTTTATGGATATCACCATGCCCGTCATGGACGGCTTTGAGGCCACCCGGCAGATCCGCCAACTTGAGCTCGAGCATATGATGGCGGCGGGAGAGAAGGCGGTCAAAGAGAAGTGCAAGATCATTGCCTTGACGGGGCTGAGCAGCGAATCAGACCGAAGGGAGGCAACAGCTAGTGGGTGCGATTTGTTTTGGACTAAGCCTGTCCGGCTGGATGCAGTGCGGAAATTGCTGGCTGAGATGCCGTTCGGGGAGGGTAAGAAGAGAGAGTAAGAATACCCTGATGTGTTATCGAGCTATTCTTGTTCTATAGCCCTGAGTCTGGCCTGGGCATCTTTCCTATAACGCCGCCTCACAGTGGAGTGTGTAATTACTTCTCGGCATGGGAATGTGTCGACGTGTGGACTTGACCTGGGTCGACCGTCAGGCTCTGTCGAAGAACATTAGGAGCATGCTCCGCGTTTGGTTAACCAGATTAGGCCTCCCTAGGCACCGTGAACTGTGCCTCTTTGCGTTTTTCCGGCGGCCAATTGGCTCTCTCTAGTTGCAACGTCTCTGTCCACCCCGTTGGTGCTGTGCCGCTCGGAAAGCGGCAGCCACCGCGAGGCATCTGCGCGGACTAAGCCAGCTAAGCTCATCGGATGGTGTTGCTGTAGCCCACATCGGCCCACATCTTCCAGAACGCCAAGAGCAGGGTTTTTATTCACTTTAGTTTCTGTAACATGCATCAGAAGCAAGGCAAGCAACTTCGTCTTCATGATCGTCACTTCCGCTCGTTCCTCCCACAGATGGATTCAAGTCTTGTTTGTTGGCGGTTATATTTCCCGCCCGACTCCCACAAAAAGGCTTAACCATACCCGATTGTAATGCACTTATTACCCCGAAGTGCTCCTTGCCAGGTCCTAAACCACCTTACCCTTTCTCTTCAAAGATCACTAAAGTGTTTTATAAGCGAGCGCCGTATATAAGCGAACGTTGCACTGGTACAGGCTGTACAGACGTTTAGCTCTAGCACTAACAGCCTATTCCCGGCTCAATCCCTGCTATTAGAGCTGCACCCAGATATCTATGCCGCTCTTAGCAGTGCGGCGCTCGCTTATATGCGGCGCTCGCTTACAAAATACAATACGTTAAGTGACGCGATTCCGACCGAGCCGGCAGCTTGAGTGAGTCCTAAACAAACATCCCAATGACTGAGCCTATCGCTAATGGTTCTAGGAAAGAACCACCAAGTCAAATATGCCTGTCTCCTTAAGACTTGAGCCCGCCGACTTTGCCGTGCCTCCCCGGATTCGCTTACAGCCGCAATCCCCAACATCAAACCAAATATGCTAACGTTAGCTTCTATGGGAAGCAACACAGTGCAGGCGGAGAGACTTCTATCGCTCTCGTGGAGCTGACGTCTGAGTCGCAGCCCATCGACGATTCTCTTCAATTCCTGTCACGGCCCCCACCATGAGCCCTACACTTGGGCAATTGGCGGGCGAGACACTGTGGATTTCATGGCGCAGCGACATGACTCGCAAGCAGAGAGAGGATATCTGGAGAGCAGGAGACTCAAATTGGAACTCGGAACTTCCCTCTCTCAAGGATCAGTCAGTTGGTTAGGGGTGCACGCACAATACAGTCGTCTTGCCTGCTGCCTGTTGAGGATTCGGTGCATCTTCCTTGGTGAGCTTGTGTGTGTCGCCTTACAATTCCACGCTATTCAGGTTGTTGATGAGGAGTACAAGGCTGGTGTCCTTTCCGATACCTTTGCTGCTAAGGCTAGAATGGTGGCGGCTAAGGTTGCAGGTGAGCGTCAAAACCAAGCCTAGGCTTAGACTCCGGCCTCGGTTTAGGCTTGGACCAGCCCGCAATAGCCTTGTAATTGACACATTCCAATTAATGCTTCATCGGCGTCTTGTTGATCTCTGTACTTTGTTTGAGGCAGTGGTTGACGTATGGTGGGGGAAAATACCTGGTAATGGTGAAACGGCTTGCATTCGATCCGTTTTCTAGGTAGACAAAGGAAGGGCTTTCCATAATACCGCATCCTCCTAAATCCAGCGAGATAATAAGACTGAACCCTCCGAGTGAATGACCAGCACTCCAGCTCGAGCCCCTCAACCTGCCCTTCCTGGGAATCAATCACCAGATTTACCAGCGTGCCGCCATCTTAGCGGCGCCTCGTGCCCTGGCTAGAACCGCAGCTTGTTGAACTGAGTGGGTTCCTTGGCACCAAGATTCACGGACTGAGCACTGATGTTCAATGCAAGACTCTCAGTCAACACAGATCCATCACAATGACGGCTGGTTGACGGACTTGGAGACTCTCGGTCAAGATGGGCTTATCATTATGAAGCAGTTCCTGACTTAAACGTCATATCATGGCACACTGTCTCTATATAAGGGGGAATTACCCTGGGAGGATTAGAGAGGACAATTTTCCAAAAAGAAAGGGACATTCTAAGGCACCCTAACCCACTATCTTGATCCTTCATTGTGTGGTCACTCTGGATTCGTGACTCCAATTCAAGCTTCATTTCATACCTCAATTTGTTCAATACCACTTGGTTGGTCTAAGCTTACTCGTGCATGTAACTGTTGGCTGCCCAACACAGCTCCTCGGGGGGCCGACCGCAATTGCCCTGCGTGATGTCTGGCGCTCGGCGTTGTACCCCCGTAGGTTGTCGTATTGCTGAACGTCATGGTGCACTCTCCGTCGTAGTCTTGGCTCGAATAGCGGTGGGTTTCTGACGACTGAGCAGCCAGCTACGGAGCAGAGTTGGATCGCAATGTCGCACATAGTGTCTAAGCAAAGCGTCAGTAACATGTTGAATCCACGATGTGAAAGGCGAACACTCTCACTAGGTAAGGTATTTACCGTCCGGGGATATTTAAGGTATCTAAACATGATGAGAGAACTGGTTGCAGTAGGGCAGCTGTGTGAAGAAAGTGCAAGGCTAGGTGGTGGATGTGGGTTTTAGTTTTTCTTTGAGGGAGGTTGCGATGCCGAGAGTATGTTCCTACTTTGTTCAAGGGACTGTCAGAGCCCTATTTATACGATTCTCCAAATACCCGGAGTGGTCCAGCATCGCCAAAGAGCCCTCAATATTCTGAGCTCGACAGGCAAGTGCCTGTTAGACGCTGTGTTTCACGTCTTGCCGGCTGACGCCATCCCCTGAACTTGGTTATCAATCGTTGGCCACGGCGACACCGCTGGCAGGGCTTGACGAGACCGGAAGATGCGACTGGAGTAGCGTTCTTTTGCGGCCTAAAATATTAATTTAGTTGTTTAGATGCGGTTCGAGACCAGGGTTTCCATTTGCGGGCCGCGTCAGGAAAAACGAGACGGTTTCATCTCGTCCGAGCCTTCTGCGCCGCCGAGAAAGTCTGGCCAACTGACGGCGGCTGAATGGGACGCCACTGCTTCGGTTGGGCATGGCCGGCACCTTTCCATCAAGATGCTAAGTCTCCTTCTCTCCCAGCTGTGCTCAGTGTGTACCTTGGGTAGGTACTCAAATTCGCGTTTGATCATGGGTGCCGCCGTCAAACTCAAGTGTCCATAACGTTACGCTCTGGGCTGTTTCAGTTCTTATAAGGGCTGAATGTAGTATGGAATACGAATTTCATAAGTCGGAGAAAGCTAAAGTTGCCTAATTTACGCAATCTCCAGCACTTGTAGACTTGCCCCTATCTGCGCAGCCTCCCTATGCATAAGGTAAGGCTATCGACGTAACACTCACTGACTACACGATAGGGCGAGTCGATGACCGACATGTTGTGCAACACGAGCGGCGTCCGCCCTTGGTGCGGAACAAATACCTTCTCCCCTGAGACAATATCTTTTCCTCCCATTCCGAGTGGAGATAACCACTGCCCCGGTTCTCTGTCTGAAGAGGAAGTTTGATGGTGTTATTGGAGGCGGCAAATGTTTCCATATGTCCAACTTGACTAAACACCATTAAAATCCAAACCAAGATCTTTTACGGATATCCAACACATTCCGCTCCCACCTCGCCCACTTCTCTACAACTCCCCACTCCCCCAGAAATCACACACGGAGTGTCACAAACCACCCCTTCAGCGACCCAAACACGATGCTCCTGTCCCGGAATTGGCAACCGCCATTGTTTCGTCGTATCGTTATCTACATGCGCACCCGCCTTGAATCCAGGCCGACACGCACACGCGGCTCTTGGCTTCGCAACCCGCGGGTCGGGGTATGTACATGTAGGCGCCGTGGTGGGGTCGCATCTATGATTATGCACGTCACACCCCGCTGGGCAGGTTGCCGTGTTGCTGCCTCCTCCTCCACCCGTGCAAGGCGGCGCGGAGCCGTCAGGACATGGCGATGAGGGTTGGGAACCAGGGCACACGGGTTTTGTGGTCCCGTCCGTGCCGGGACAGATGTCCCCCCCAAAACCAGGGCACGGAGGCGCGGACACGCCGTCGGGGCAGAGCTGGATGGCTGCTGAGCAGGGGGAAACCGAGCCGTCGGGGCAGGATTTTCGGAACTGGCATGGTGGAGAGAGACCGTCTGGGCAGACGGCGGATGGAGGGGGCTCGCATGTGCCATCGGCGGCACAGGTTACGATTTGGCCGCTGATGATGTCGAGGGCCTGGATGGCGTCAGTGTTGGGGTCGGGCGGGGATGAGCAGAGTTTCGTGAGCTGGCCCAGCAAAGCGTCTCCCTGGCCTAACAGCGCAGGACTGCGGAGGCTGCCCAGGCTGGCCCTGAGGGATCTGGGAAGGCGACTCTTCCAGCCATCAAGGCCGCGGCTCGTGAGGTTGTCCACAGGGTCGAACCACACGGGGTAGTCGTTGCACCGGATGCCTCCTCTGGGCGCCGTGCGCCGTAGGGTATAGAAGGCGGCAAACATGTGGGCTCGCTGCTCCGTTGTCCAGGGCATGGAGCCGTGCGGGTTTTCGGCAAAGACGGCGCCACGCGTCGAGCTGTAGCTCATGTGGTTGGTCACGTTGTAAAGGCCGTCATCGGCCGGGCAATAGTCCCATTTCTTGCTGCGGCCTGTCCCCGTCGCGCAGCACCGCCGCTGCTGGGCAGAGAACTTTTGGGCGTCGTTGGGAAATTGAAACGTGTCCTGAATGTTGTCGCTCTCGCCTCCGCAACCTGCCGTGGCTGGGAACACGTGTGGCAGGTCGAGCCAATGGCCCAGTTCGTGGGTTAGCACTTTGCCGTCTCCGGCCCCGTTGCGGAAAGTGACGCCAGGGAGTGTGTCGAGGATAATGACACACCCGTCGACGGGGTGGTTCGCGTACGCGAGGTTGCGCGCAAAGGTGCAGTAGCCTGCTGTGCGTACGCCCGTGTCGCAGTTGATCGAATCGACTGACTCCACCACCCAGACATTGACCTCGTCGTTGCCGCCATAACGGTTCTCGGCCTTGATGCGCTCCTGGTACGCCTCAAAGGCCTTGTCGCTCTCGCCCAGCTTGTTGTGCGTGAACCGGTCCCACTCGAGGCCGATGTGGTAGTTGACGGTGGACATGAAGAAGGAGATGTTGAGCGGCGCAAAGTCGGCGTTGATAATCTCGATCTGTCTCTCGAGCGCTGTGATACTGGCCAGGCCCGCCGTCGTCATGTTGGTCGTGAAGACGGTGAAGTGGACGGGAATATATAGGGTTCTTGGGATACAAACCGGACGGGGAATAAATCTCGGCTTGATGGGCAACTTGGGCAGCCAGGGGAACACTAATAGTTCATTAGCTTTCGACAGGGGTTCAAGAGTTGCCTGATCAGTGTCACTGACGGATTGGCGCAACCCCTCGCTCGATATTCTTTGCAACATTCTCCAAACCGTCGGCAATCTTTTCAAAAGTGCCGGTAAGCTTTTTGCCCACCTTCTTGAGATCCTTGAACCAGCCCCGTTCCACAAGATGCCGCTTTTGTTGGTCTGGGTCACTGTCAAGGCCACAGTTGGGCAGGCTGAGCGGCGTCTGGAACGGCATCGGGTTCTTGGAGAACTCGACTAGATACTCGACGTGCAACATGTGGTAGAACATGTAGTCCTCCAAGTCAAGAATATAGTCTAGGGGTGGCATCGGGTAGTCGGTGTTTCCTTGCACCCGGCCATATTGGCCAAACCCGGCCGTCGCGTCCCTCGTCCCAGACGCCGAGCAGTATTTGCATGTTGCAAGCGGGCCGCTGCAGTCCTTGTGCGTGTAGGTGCCGCATTCGATGCCCGGCGCGGGCAGAGGGCTCACGGGGCACTGTGGGGTCGAAATGGGGAAGACTTGGGCGCGGGTCCCTTGAGCCAGTGCCCATGCCGATACGAGCCCAATGGGAGGAAGATGCATAGCACTTCTTGACTTGACGACCTAGCCAACTGTTGCTGCAAAATCTCTGGCGTTGCACGACTGCGGTTGCTGACTCAGCTGCCCCGGCCCGACGCTTGCCCGATGTTTTGCCGGACGAAATCCCGTTCGCGTTCCCGAACCGGGGCCGCCTCCGTAACGACTCCAAACAACGCCGGCGACGGAGGCCGGAAGGCGTCGCCCATTCTACTTCGCTCACCCCCATCGAGTCCTCTAGAACACGTTCCGCGCATTCGCGATGGAGATGCATTTTCAGCGCCAGGATCCCGTCCCCTGTTCGCGGGGCTGTGGCCGAGGATGCGAACCAACTACGTCCGACCCTCGAGGCTCGGTGCTGGGCTGGCTTGCTCATGCCGTCGTGGCCTCCCTCCTGCCCTCCCTCCACCCAAACCCCAGAATTTCCTTCCTCTCTGCTTTCTCGTCATTCTTCCTTCTTTTAACATACTCCTTAGCTCACTATGACGGTTCAACAACAGTTGCGCTTTTCCGAGGTGGACCAGGAAAGCGTTAATGCGCTCCTCCAGGATTACTTGGACAGTGTCATAGAGGAGGAGGGTAACGAGCAGCCCTTTGTTGCTCCGGGCACACAAGCGGAGCGCGATAGAATATGGACTGCCTGGACCGAGTATGTCTTCTCCACCCCTTCCCTGGCTTCCCCAACACAAACCAAATTTCGACATTACGCCTAGGACAATGTGCTGATGTGTTACTAATCTTATCATTTTCTAAAGTTTCTGTGGACTTACCCGAAAAAAAGAGGATGAGATGGACAGCCACGGTACTCCCCAGAGGTACGTGGCCCACCATCGAGCTTGAAACCAGTGCTAACTGAGTGAAGCTGTCGTGGTCTCGACCCCTGCCGCTTCTGGGTGGACTTCGCTCGGGACCCATCGGTCCCAAGTGTTCAGGCGCCAGTTCAGGCCTTTCTGCACAAATATGTGGAAAACTCCGTCAAGGAACGTGTCGTGTTAGGGCCGGAGGAGCGCGCCATGGTCCGCACACTGAACTCCGCTTATAGTGTCATTGAGGTTTGGCGGAGGCTTGTCGCAGCGGCCGATTTCAAGGTCCTCCGTCGCGAGCGGAAAGCGCTGCGGAAAAAGGAGAAATACCTGGAGGCTGACCGGCTTTTTCTGAAGTGGGAGCAAGAAGGCGAACGACGTGAGGGACCCGCCTATCTAATTGTCCAGGTATGTGACGCTGAATTGGATGTATTCCCTTTTCCCCTTTGAAATTTTTCGGTCCCCTTACACTTCATTGTATCCCTAACGTGGTAACTTCGTCTCCAGCTCTCCTCTTTCGCGCACTCTGTCCGTCGTGCTTCTGCCATTAGTGTGTTTTACTGACCAGTGCCTGGCTAGTGGATTCTCCTTAAACTGTCGCCAGCGCTTAACCTGGAGATAAACACGTTGTACGTGAAGGTTGAAGCGACAGCAGCAGATATCATCCTCATTCTTCTCGCGCTATATCAGCGGGCTGAGGATATACCCGCTCCGCCACTTACGAGGGTGTCGTTCCACGCTGCGGTCCTTCTCGGCAGTACCGGCGGTTTCCGGCCGGGCAGCCTTATGAATACCAAGTGTCGGCAGTATACCTTGTCCGTCGTGCGCGACCCTGATGTTAGGACCCGGACGAGGATTATTGTTACACCCAACATCGGTCGGAACAAAGTCAAGACGACTCAAATGACCTGTAAATACAGGAAGCAAAAATCGTAAGCAATTCCATCTCGAGCAGATGCGAGGCCGATGGCTAACGAGGTGTGTCTCCCTAACCCCCATTAACAGCGTCGCCTACTCTACCACTCTCGTGCCTTATCCTGTCCTCTGTTTGGCAAGCCTCGTGATTGCCCGGGCGGTAGAGATGGACGCTTTGGCAATCAGCTTTGAATCGGCCCACGACCTTCTCCACCGTCCAGTCCTTGGCAAGACCGACCGTATCGACATTCCCTGGAAGGAGGAATTCCTGGACAAGCCTCTTTTCCCCCTAGCATACCCGGTGTTTTACGAGCTATGGATGCGGTGCCTCCTTGTCATAGGCTGCCGCAAGACTATCCGCCCTTATGCTTTTCGCGTGGGTGCTGGAGCCCGCATGGATGGTATGTTGCTTCTGGACACTGACCGCCGCCAGACGTTACATAGTCAACTAACACGCATTGCAGAAAGCCTGTCAAGTGCCCTACGGAACTATGTGATGAGTCACTCAGGAGCCGTTTTCGAAAACGACTACCAAACAGGCGTCGTGAGACCTAATCTCGCCGCATTAGCGTATGGGCCCAAAGCGGTGCGCCGGGATGAAACGCTTTTCAACGACCTTCGCAATATGTCCCTTACACGGGACGAGGGTTCCCCGATCTCGGTGTCGAAAGAACAGATTTCGAAGTTCCGAGAACGAAGGGATATCGCCAAGTTCCGCGACGAGATCCAGGCCTCAACCGACCAGGGTGAGAAGAACAGGCTTCACAGGCAAATCAGAACCACCATCGAGACTTGCATCAAGCTGCAGCTCGACGCAGATTGGCAGGCCTACTTCAAGGCGGCGGACCGGTTGCGTCTCCAGGGTCTTGAGCCGGAGCCAACACCCGGCGCGGGGGGTCCGGGTATGGCGGCTCCGGTGGCCGCCCTTTTGTCTCGCCCAGGACCGCGAGAAGACGGCGAGTCGTTAACGGTCGGCACGAGCGTATCGGAGCGGTATATTGATGCGCAGCTGCTGCACCTCTCGTCTATCGCACTCAGTGTACCACGGCTGGTTCCAAAGGCAGCGGCGGCTTCCAAGTCCCAGAGGGCACCTCGGGTTCCAGAGACAGCGGCAGCTTCCAAGCCGCAACGGGACTCCTGCTGTTTCGTCTGCTCCAAAGGCTTCACAAACCGCTCTTGCCTTACGCGGCACTTCCGGAATGCCCATCTTGTTGACGGTACGTTTGACAAGCCTCTCGCTTGTCGCGAGTGCAAGCGCGCTGGGGCGACAGAGGTTATCGTCCACGGCCCGGCACAATGGTGCAATCACCTCGAGCATACCCATGGCCTGATCCACACACCAAGCGTCAATCCAGGTGCCAGCCCTCGGGATCGTCCGTCAAATTCGCCGTTGATCTGTCTTCTATGCGAGGCACCCATGGCATCTACGAGTACTCTCCTCGACCACATGAACCGGACTGAGATTCCTCGGTATCGTAAGGGCCTTCCCGTCGTCTGTGGCGCCTGCACTCGTGAGGGCCGAGTTGACGTCAAACCCATGAGCATCTGGGAATGGCTGACGCACGCTCGATCCGTCCACAAGTGGTCTCTTCCCGGCGTGGAGCCGTGCCTTCTCTGCGGACATCTCTGCGCCCTCGGACCCGGCTTCCGGAGACATTTCACCGCTCAGCACAGCCACAGACTGGGAGAGCCTTTAGAGTGCGCCGCATGCGTCCCTTCGACAATGCCGGCAGGAGAGATGCAAGGGATCTATGGGTTTGAGGAGCTGCTCCGGCATGCTATAGAAAAGCACTCCTCAGGACAGGCGGTGACAAAAGTTGTCGGAGGAAAGCGCAAGGGGGACAGCTACATGAACGGCGAGTACACCGCTCCAGTCGCCAAGCGCAAGAGGGGCGCCAAGCACAACGTGGCGTACACGAAGGAGCCTTCCCCCTTCGTGACAGATGATGCAGACAGCGATCCGTGCGAGGACGTGATCATCTGCGCGCCGACTGTCGATGAGCAGCAAACGTGCTATCTCACACAGAATCATATAGGGGGCCCGAACGCAATTTTGGATTTGGATTCTCTAGAGCACGTCGACCCTGCCCTTCTCGCTCCGTGGCGGCCGGCCGCTTCCGCGCACCAAACTGCTGCGGTGCCCTCGAGAAGAGTCTTAAGGACACGAGTGGTTTGAGGACACTGCGACCTTTAAAGCCACTGTGGTGGGTGGCCCCGGCTCTTCGTATTCGATGGCCCGCAAAAGCCTAACCCCACACGCAACAAGCGCATAGCCGGCCGCGGCGACGGCCGTTGCTCCCGCTAGCTTGGTGAGAGGACGTGGGGGGCTAGGTCTCAAGGCTGGACGATAGGACGGTCATTTAGCTATGTATGCTTAACCATGTATCAGATGTCAAAATTGCCACCACACTGTCATGTCTGCTGTGCAACTCGCAACGTTAGTGAGATGTTCAGTTTCCAGTTGTGGTTCAATACGGCGGTGGCTTGGTTTGGGAGGTATAGCACAGTAAATGTGAGGGGCAGACGACGAAACCATGCTGAACAACCCAGCCGAGCGACCGAGCAATCGTCGGCGTCCCGGCGTGGCCGGTTGGAGGTGCTGTTAGCTGGCTCGGGCGGCCGTCGGCTACGGTATGCGGGCTGCGGATGGCTCTCTCGACGGTGCCATCGCCAGGGCTTCTCTTTACACTTGAGCAGGCCAAGCCGAGAGGACGATAGTACAACAGTTAGTTGATACATTCAATAGACCCAATAGGGCAGATGTGGTATGCTGCTCGCGTACGGTCGAGAAAGCATGAAGCTTATGCCGTCAACAGGCTCGCCTGATCCGTTAGTCGACTTTATTTCGTGACGACAGCTTTCATTTCTACTCGAGTATTCAAAATCGTGGCGTGCAGAAGACCGGCGCAATGGATGTTGGTGGCTGACAAGGTTACACTGCATTAGCGGCGCTTAGCCTCCTAGGGCGGGCTCGAGCGCAGCACAGAGACGCGATTGCGTTCAAGTCAGTGCAGCGCCCCGAAACGGGATATACTCGCCATTGGGAAAGTTCAAAAGATAACTCCTTAACCCAAGGCTGGAACCACCGAACAAGCCAGTAATTTGACAGGCGAAGGCCGTCGACGGCGCCCGCATAGCCCGTCGTAGCCCTGGGCTAGGTTAGTCGGACCTGGTGGAATGGCGAGGGCGATCGTCGGCTCTGTATGGACGGTAGGTATCACCAATGCCCCGCTTCGCATTGATTGGGGTATGGAGGAGCTATGGCACAGCGGGTTTTTCGGTGCTCTACTCCGGCCTGTCTCTCTCTGTCTTCTAATGAGCTCTCATCTGTATAAACCGAGCTTTCATAGACCAATTGGGTTGATGCAGCATTGAACGTGAAAACTATTTAGCAAAGAACTTCTATTTACAACTCCTCCTCCTCCTCCTCCCCTTCTTCTTCCTCGATAAAGGGGAGGTTTGCCCTCGTTGTTTGATTCAACCGGAAGGGGATCCGGCTGCGTTGCAGGACCTCCGCCTTCTTCGACCCCGTCCATAGGGGCGACTAGACTGTCCCAAATAAGGAGATATCCGCTCACCACCTACGATAAGTCAAGATCAACGCTCAGGTTATGGTTAGCAGTTCGGGTCCGCAGGGGCGTCGACAAGGAGCTGGCGCGGAGGAGGAAGCAGCAGCAGCCAGGCGAGGAGTTCCCTTTTTCGCCGTCACCGATTCCGGACGCGTGGTTTGGGGCCCGTCTAGACAAACTCGGGAACTTGGGCGGTCCAACGGCGTCCTCACACATAACAGTCTCATTCCCATCCCAGGCAGCGAACGTCCAGGTCCAAGTTACTGCGCCTTTCTGGACAGGACCCAGTGGCTGGAGACTAAGAAAAACGAGAATGGAGTCCAACTGGTTTATGCGAGTACCGGCGGGGCTAGTAGCGTCCCTATTATCGAGCTATGCCCGACACAATGGCAGGACCAAAGTCACGAGAACGAGGGACTACATGGCTGGCACTGGTCAAAGCTGGCCAGTGTACGATGCAACCGTTCCGCACCTGGAGCTGTCCACGAAGGTACGAAATATGGTCGCTCTGTTTTCAGGTTGCCGTACCTCAACCTGAGCACAATGGAATACTCGAACTCAGGCATGGATAATGTGGACGCGTTCGGGCTCCTAGTTGAACCGGATGATCTTGCTTTGGCGGTCAGATTCGATTGCGTTCCCGGACCAACAGATATTTGGGGGAAAATTCAGGGAATCCCATGGGTTGTTAAGGATACGCCGCCTTCTTAGTTTCACTTGCAGTAGGAAAGAGACAAGTGAAAGGAGATAAGTGGGTGTTATACAGCTTGTCGCCGCAATGACGCAGAGTAGGCTATTTACTGGGGGGCGGCAGCTGTCTTGAGCGTGTACATAGAGATTATATATACAACAGGCTGAGAAATACTAGAGACTGTTGGATATTCGTACGCACCCCTCACATTCCAACAGCCACACGGACTGCGATGACCTGGTCGCTCCGAGTCGCCATGCCCCCGGCATAGTACCGACGCCGATCCCATGTACTTCGTACGACACCTTCGCCGCGGCGTATTTCCCCACTTCTTTAACGCAATAAAGGTTCACGACTACTCTCTCTACCTTTCCCTCTTGGAGGAAATTAGCCGGAGTCACGTAGAGGGGTGTAACGGGCTGGGCCCGGTGCGAGCCTCGGCGACTCTCGGCCAATACCAAGACCCCTGATGAGGCTATTCCCACTCGCCCCACAGCACACCGAACCTTCTAGCAACGCGCTCAGACCAGCGCGCCTACGAGGATAAGTATGCTTGCGAGCTACCAGAGTCTGTCATCTCTCCTTTTCTTCTCCAAGTTCAGTGTACTCGTAGAGTCGTCATCAGCTAGTTGCAATATACTGCCTGAGACCGTTACAAGGGGAGAAGCAGAGGGAAATATATGTCTCCTGTATCACTATCCTATAGCTATGTACCAGGGCGAGCCAGCTTAGTAATCCATGTCCCTCTGTCTTTCCACCCGTCGGCGAGATGGCCTTGCCAGGATGGCCTGGAAGTCGGCACGAATCTTCTGCAGTGCGGCAACTAAGAGGCGTGAGCGGCGAGACCGCGAGGCACGGTGAGCATACCTACCGTCGTTGCAGGCCTCTGCACGCATCAAGCGTTCGAAGAGGTAGTCGAACTCTCTCTCTAGGAGCAGTCCTTTGCGGTAGGCTTGTTGCAGAAGAACGAGGGTGCTCTTTGCCTCGGTCTTCAGAGTCTTGGCAGCCCGTTTCTCCCGGACCATACGCGAGAGTTCCCACGTCGACCTGATCGCGGTCAAGAAGCTGGCAATGACGATGATCGGGTGAGGCATGATGAAGGAGGCACGATTGGGCTTGGGGTGGGCAGGCGCGGAGGGTATGGCGGTCCATGGCGCCGGTAATATAGGCGGGATCACATATGGCGCCTCCTCGCCATAAGACTCGAGGATGTGTCCTTCCCGGAGTCTCGACTCGAGAACGGGTTCTTGAAGATGCAACACACGAGAACGCGTACTGGTCGCACGTTGTTGTTCTCGCAGGGAGCACAGCGCTTACGACCGGTCGCGCTCCACTTGTTAGCACCCCGCGTCGGCAGTACCGTGCTACCCCTGGCAGTTGGCTTGTACGGGAAGTACTGGTCGCACCGCGTCATCGGGGCAACGCTGGGTTGGAGCGACTGGCTGCACCACACGCAGCAGCGCGCTAGCAGCAATAGTACTGTTCGCACACCGGATTTGCCAACGCGTTCGTACCAGTCGCACGCCGGCCATTTGCGCAGGCGGGCTGCCCTGCGACTGGTACCCTAGCGGGGCCCGGGGTTGCTGCAATACTGGTCGCACACTGGCCGCTCCCGTGCGACTGTTCGCCAAGGCACCGTGCTACTGGTCGCACACGGGCCATCCCCTGCGACTGTTCGCTACGGCGCCGTACTACTGGTCGCACGCGGGCTGTCCCCTGCGACTGTTCGCTCCGGTACCGTGCTACTGGTCGCTCGCGGGCCGTCCCCTGCGACTGTTCGCTACAGGCTCACTGCAATACCAACAATGGTATAAGCTGCAGACCGGCCGTCTCCTGCGACTGTTCGCTACAGGCTCGCCTAATACCAACCATGGTACAAGTTGCAGACAGGCCGTCCCTGCGACTGTTCGCTACAGGCTTACCGCAATACCCAAGGCGCAAACAAGCCTTCCCGTGCGACTGATATTACTGCAGCAGGGCCCAGGGCCACACCCATGGTACACGTCGCCTGCCAAGCCTTCGCATGCTTGACACGCACGAGTGCGACTGGTCGTGCTTCAGGCGATGATAACTCGGCTGTCATAACCAGCTAACAATAGCTACGTCGTCCGTCTGCCTAGTGCACTCGAGGGTGCGCGTACCGCCTGCTGCCACGCCTGATTCACTAGACGAAACTTCCCGCGGGCTCGGCTTCCTTTCTCCAGGAGATCGTGTATTTCCATCTGGATTGGGAGTCAAATGCCACCTGTGACAAAGTCACTGGCAAGTGCTCAATGAGCCCCACATCGCACGTGCAGGGCACCCCACAAAAGCGGGTCGCACAGCTGTATTTAGCTGAGCTCTCGAGCTGATTTTTATACAAGGACCTTTGCATCACTCTGTCCTGTAACATGGTCTTCCAGCTCTTGCCGTAGGAATGGGCATAGGGATTTCGTAAGCGCCTTCTTTCCATGATACATGCCTGCGGAGTATGCACGCCCGGCGGACGACCTACCTCGAGAACAGGTTTTAGTAACCCAAACACATCCAGGTGCACAGAAGAGGTAGGTTCGACATACAATAAACTGTTCTTTCCTACGCCTCATCTGGGCCGCAATGAACAGGAACCACAGCATGAAGCCTTAACCTCCATTGAGACCTTGTAAACGTTATCTCGCTTTAAAAGAGCCACCTACCCCAAGAACGAGAACTCAAAAAGCGCGGCTCCGGAACGGGTTTCCGACTCCATGGCAGAGCCACTTCTCTACAGTTGCACCCTAGCCAGGACACCAAGTCAATACTACAGTACAAAACCTTTTCATTGCCTAGTCTAAACAATTGTTTCGAGGCTTCTACAGTTGACAAAATTACCGACCACATGGACATGGATGTGCCAACCGGCCCGCATTCACGTTCCCGCACCGCGTTAGGTCTCCTGCACCCTCGCACAGTTACACCATACCCTCTGTCCTTATTTTACTCTCGTCTCTTTCCTGCTGCGCAATGCAACCGACAGAGTACCAATCATCCCATCAACTCAGACCGTCCTCTACATCGAAAGACATAGTCGCATCTTTGCCGTTCACTGGAAAGCAATACAATGGCGCGTCCGGAAGGCAATGCCGCAGAATTGGGTCAGCCGGCAGACCAGCCGAGGGTTTCTCTCTTTGGATCGCTATCCGACCAGTCCAAGAGCTTTGCCTTTCGCACGTCCAAGGACTCATCAGCATCGTTATTCGGCCAGCCCAAGAGTTACCCGTCTGCCGAGCCAACAGGCCCCTCAGCATCGATGTTCAGTCACCCCAAGAACGCTCTCTTTGGCCCCGGTGCTTCGGCACCGTTGTTTGGTCAACCGAAGAGCCCAGCCGAAGTGACCCTCAGCATCGTCATTCAGCCAGCCGGTATACCCGCCAAAGAGCTCCGTATTTCCATCGAAGCCCCGGAGGACACGCACATCACGCAAGCTCGGAGCCCCCGGCCTCGCAGGACTCGTCCTTGCGTACGCAGGTTCGCGTTATAGTAGGGTGGGGATCAAGCGCTACTGTCGAGGTTGGCCTTCCTCCTCACAGTCCTCGGTCGTAGAGGGCCATACACTATCTGGGAATGCCGGTCTCCGTCTCACACAGGACCGAACTCGCCACCCTCCTGTGGCAGAGAGGCTAATCCGTGAGCAGGGAGCGGAAATGGTTCGCTTTGTGAAACGGACATGGACAGAATGATTCAAGTAGGATACGGGGAACAAGTTATGTTTTGAGGGGGCAGCTATGGTATTGTGATAGTCTCGTATGTAGGATAGGAATGTTCATGGGTCTCTCGTCACCGCAACCGGATCAGTCTGTTCTCAAGGAGCACATCCAGGACCTCAAAATGGCCGGATTGCAGAGTTCTTATCAATTCACGCGTACCGCATACTGCCGCTAAATAGCAGGGGGAACGCTGTCATTCTTGATCAATCAATGCTCACACGCCTGACTATAAAGCCATGATATTGTGGTAGCTTTGGCGTCTGCCCGGTTCGTAGCCTGCTCCGTTGGGGGTGCACAGGTCGAAACCAACCCCCGGAACGGGAACTCGAAACAGGCCTCGAGAACGAGTTTCTGGCACCGAAACACGTCCTTGTCACCACTCGCATGCCATACTTGAAGGGGGAGGCGCCCAGCAGAGGCGTGCAGACCGTGGATCATTCCCCGAGTTCAAGTTCCTTGCCGCCCCTTGAGAGTTCCACGCTTGAGTGTAACGGTCCCAACGGACACTGGAACGACAGGATGTCAACGACGACTGGGACTATTACATTATAACTAAGCTTCCTTCTTCGTAATTGTCATTGACAGAGAAGGTCTGCGTCGTCAACGAGGCGGCGAGACACCAACGGTTTTAAGCCCTTGCGACCGTCCTTGCGACCGAGCGAGGCACTCAGCAATATACCGGCGCGCAGCAACCGGTTGAGCCAACGAACGGGTAAGTCCTCCATCCGCGAGGCACCCAACGGCAACGGTAAAGTCCTCCATCTGCGAGGCACTCAACGGCACTGCAAGACATCGGCGTTCCACGACCGGTTGAGCTACGGCGTCGCCCGCAAGACACTGTCACTACGAACCTCGCAAACGGTTAAGCCGCTAGCCGAACGAATCCCACATTCCCGACTGTATATCTACAGGGCGGAGATCTCGGTCAAAGGGAGCCGAGTAGCTGGATCGACTGGGACATCAACGGCACTGGTCAATACCAACTGTCGGTAACGATCAGTATAACGACAACGACGACGACGACGACGACTAGGGCCATCTGGACAGACCAACAACAATGGCCAACGACGACGCAACGATGGCTGGGGGCATTGTGACTCCCAATTTAATGGAGTTGCTGATGCAGCTCAATGGACAGATGACGGCACTGCGGTCGGAACAAGCAGCCAGCTGGCAGGCGATCCGGGCCCTTCAGGAGAACCTTGCGGCGGCCCCTATCACTTCAACAGCGACGTCAACGGCACCAACGGGATGCCCAACTTGTAAGTAGTGCGAACTCCTCCGCTTCGATGGTTGATAAAGCGCTGATTGCCGCCGGCCAAATGGACATCGGTGGGCCAACTGAAACGAGCGCTGTCGATTTCGACCCCATGGACATTGACGGACCAACTGAATTGAACACCAATGGGATCCGTTCCGGAAAAAACACATTCGGTTGTCACCCTGTGTCCATCAACCGTCGAGACACCAAAGGATGCCCAATATGTAAGTAGTGCGACCTCCTCCGTTCATATATTGTCTACCAGCCATATAAGCCAGAGCATCCGCAGATGAAGCAGAACACTTTTAATAGCCAGAAAGACGGAAGGCCTCTTAGCTTGGCCGGAACCGCACCCTCCAGGTCGAAGCGACGAAGTCAGATCTATCAATCCAAAAGCTAATCAACCAGAGTTTCAGTGCAACGCCTTGGCAAGAAGCACAAGAGGACAACGGGATTGGAATCCCTCCCCAGCAGGCTTGTCAGACGCGACGCAATCGAGAGCTTCGCCAACAACTGTGAGAAAATATGGGAAGACTGGACATCATTACTCCGGAAGACGACGTTACCTCCTAATGTCGCTAGTTCGGACGCCCGGGTCACCGCCGCATTTAGAGCTGTGGACAGAGTTATCTCTGGAAAACAGAGCACATATGTGCTACGGTGGCTAGCTTATGTTCGACTAATGACGCTATGTGATTCCCTTAAGCCCGTTGTGAGGGCTGAGAGAGAGAATGGAGAAGCATACCGGGAGCGGGGTGATCGCGACATCAATGCTGTTATTGACATATACGAGAACGCTCTGAGACCTTCGGATAGGCGAGGGTTGAGGGATGTAATATTGGAACACCGGCGGACCGGCAAGCGTGTGAAATCGCTTGCAGGCCCATCACCCCTATTTCTTCTTATCTACTCAGATGAAGCTGAGACGGTTATGTACACAGTCTCCCACACGTCGCGGTAGCTTTTCTTTCCCATGCTAACTATACTGTAGCAGAGACTTCAGACGGACAGACAACCGGACTTTAGCGCTAGTTGCGGCCAAAATTCTCCAGAGGCATCCCATCAAGTTTGTCCGCTTTTGTACTCGTCTCGCCGAGGAAGCAGGATGGGCAATCAGATCGAATCGTTCAGCAAATATGCACGATATCTGGATTATCGCGCGTCGAAAAGACAATAGATAGCTTGGAGAGCATTGGGAACTAGGGCACGTTTTTCGGTGGCGGCGGTATTGTTGTGGCTTTGGGGTTGGGGAATTTGTGGAGGCCTGGATTTCCCCGTGGCTTGGCTTGGCTTGGTTTGGCTTGGAATTTGCTGCGGCTTGGCTTGGGCTTGGGTTTTCGCTGGCGCTTAGGTTTTTGCTGGCGCTTAGGTTTTTGCTGGCGCTTAGGTTTTTTGCTGGCGCTTAGGTTTTCGCTGGCGCTTAGGTTTTCGCTGTCGCAAGGGTTCCGCTGTCGCAAGGGTTTTTTCTCAAGGGTTTTCGCTGTCGCAAGGGTTTTCGCTGTCGTAAGGGTTTTCACTGTCGCAACGGTTCTCACTGTCGCAAGGGGTTTTCGCTGTCGCAAGGGTTTTCGCTGTCGCAAGGGTTGGGCGGGTTTTCGCTGTGGCTTAGCTTGCGTTGGGCTGCGTTCGTGTTTCCTTGTTCACGTCGCTGCTTCACGTTCCGCTTCGCGTTCGCGGCAGCCCCAATAGCATATATACGCCCCGGAAATCAGACTCTTCGTCTTCTTGAGTTTGTTTTTACAAGAAGAGAAGACCACAAACACAGTTTTCCGAGGGATCTTGGAGCTAAGTTTTGGGAGTTTGAGGGAGCTGGGCTTGGATCTTGATGTGCAGCCCAGCATAGAGTCCAGCTCAGCTACAACGGCTGCTCGGCAGCGGTGGCTCGGCAGCGGTACTGCAGCTCAGCAGCGGGAGGTAAGAGGCTGCTTCCCGTCGCCTCTGTGCTGACCTGAGCTGCAGTGGCGCTGCTGGGCTACCGCTGCTGAGCTACCGAGCTGTCCCTGCCGAGCTGCCTAGCTGAGCGACCGTGCCGAAACTGCCTGGCTGAGCTAGCCTGCCGAGCCGGAATGCCGAGCCGCCATACCCATTGTTACTTAGTATTGGAGCGCAGTTCGAGTTGGCAGTTCAGTAGATAGGACAAGAGGGTAAGCATTGATCAGAGAGCTGGAGCAGAAGCGCTGTCAAGCCGAAACGGATAGAAATATGAATTAGAATAAAGAAGTCTGAGTAGTTCAATTGGAATAATTGTACGCATTACCGAAAATCTGATCATGGCAACACCTACGCCCATTAACGATCTGGCAACAGCACACCTGGGTCTCAGAGAAGATGGAATGTGGTGTGTGCCCTGGAGGACCCACGTGACATGCTGTGGGACGGCCACCTGCATCTTCCTGAGATGGGAAGCTCTGAGGGAGGACATGTTGCAATGCACAGTGGCAAGACGAGGGAGCCTCTCATTCTACCTGGGAGGGAAAGCACCATCGGATCCAAAGATGTGGTCGCCAGACATGAAAGCAGTCCGGGCAACGATCAAGTACGCAATGGCGACAGGGAGATTGGATCTTGACGAGGAACAACGAAGATTGGGACAATCACAGTAGCGGAACTCCACTAACACTACACAGCCTCAGCCAGCAGATCCCGCTTTAGCTGCTGAAGATAGGACGCTGAACACTTGGAGAATGCAGCCTCCAAGTCGATCTGCTAAACTAAGTCAAGAGGCAACAGGTGGCGTGAGAAAAGGGGAGAGAGTAGAGGGCTTGTACGAGTTGATGGTTGAACGTCAACGAATTGGATGTAGTTAGCGTGCCAAGGCCCTTTAGGCTTCGCGCCTCCGGGCGAAATAAATTCCATCCATCCATCCATCCACGTGGCAGGAAACAGCTAAGAGGACACTGCGACGTCAACTTTGAAAGTATTGCAACGGTCAGCGTGGAGAGGTGCTTTGATAGATGGTGGCTGCAGGTTCGTCCACAGCTTGGGGCTGGTCCGACAACGCGCCGTCAAATGGTCGATATGCTGGAGGAAATGCAGACCCTGTTCGAGTCAGGTCAGCCTGGTCGCGATGGAGATCGACTGAGGGAGGCTGGGGTGAGGCTTTTGGTCTTGATTATCTAGCTTAACGCCCACTTGGCCATTCGTTGAAGACTGAGGGATGCTACCTTGATCCCGTCTAACCAGGCGGTCGGATCTGATTCTACCGCGGGGCTGTCCAAGGAGTTATCAAAGATCTAACGTGTCGAACAAGGGAATTATATTGTCGTCAACAAATTACAGGGCACGGTAGACGTCACCAACAAAGAAATGGCGAGAACGATCGTCCCTTGCTCCACCCGGACCATCCGTACTGCCCGATCGGAGAAAGATACACATGGCCGAGAAGGAAATTAACACGAAACATCGCCAAAGAACAAAACCAAGACCTCGGGATCCGCATCGTGACTCTGGAAATGCGAGTGTTTGATTATTGCAGGCTAATATCGAGCAGTAGGACCTGTAGGCAGAAAACAATGAAGGGCACTGGTCCTCAAAACCCGATACGCCCTCGCAGCATCGCAGCGTTGATCGCCTTCAAGCATCCGACTACCCCTCCCGTTCCGCGTCGCCGGGCCGCATCCGATCTCCCCAGTTCGTTAAGCAGCAGTCACTGTCGGAGCAGGCGGGTAATTGGTCTCAGTGTCGGTTGCGTATCCCCACACCGACTGGCAGTTGTAGTTGCGGGTGGTGTCATGGACCGTCGCGCAGACGGTGGTTGTGGTCGGGTTGACGACCACGCGATCGCATCTGCAAGGCAATGCGACGGCGGCCGTAATACGGTTTGGACCCCTTTCGGTCAGCTGGTCTATATCCTTGGTAATGTTGGGTGCTGCGATCACTTACGGTGTGCGATGCACGCGATGTCCGTGTGATAGTTGAATTCGCCGCAACCAGTCTCAGCATACCATGTCTGCTGCGGCCGGGTGGTGCATGCAGGGTTCTGCATCTATCTACCTAAGTAGATTTTGAATCTACTAGTGGATAGAAAGCAGTGCTTTCTATCCACTCTATGCTGCCTGTTGCCAAGCTTCTATCCACTCTACCCGAACCTCATCTACGTAGATTCAAAGTGGGTAGATTGCCAAGTGATTACTAATATCTGGCGCTTTGCAGAGTAACTCGCACAGCCTTCTCGAGGCTGCCCCCAGCCACCACCGCCCCCTGGCCCTCTACGGCAGTGCAACTCCGGTCTCTTCCGCTGTATCCCGCCCCATGCCAGCCGGCCTTGGTCATGTGACAGGTCACATGTAACCTTCCCGCGTGCCTGGCTCTGCCACCACATCACCCCCAGGTAGTGTTAGAATGATGTAAGTGCCGGAAGAAAGAGAGCCATCAGTAGATCTCTGATGTCCCGTATTCATAAGAGACTAGCAGATAGATTATAGTTCCGAGACAGTCAATGAGTAGACGAGGAACTTGGCAAACGCCCCGTGTTGCACATCAGCCTCTCAGGTAGAACAGGAGCTACCCACCAAGATCTCGGCCAGAAGCACTCTATATATCTGGGTAGTGTCATCTCTAGTTTTTCGAATGTAAAGACTTGCCATGAAGATACTTTTCTGCCTTGTGGCGGTGTCCTACGCGTGTCTGCTGCTTCGCTGCTGACGCCTGTTCGCAGGCAAAACAAGCCCATTTTCGACGCCTCGCCATAACACGGTGCGTAAGGCGATCGAAGTGATTCCACCTGGGAGGACTAGTCTGTAGATAGGATTGAGATGATTGACGTATATTTCAATCCGATCCGACTACTTTTGGTTGTGAAATGTCTAGAGATACATGTGATGGTTTACATCGATATGGAAGCTTGTCCGTTTTCTTGTCTAAATCGACCCTAACCATTCGACGCGTTCCCGAGGAGATCGCACTATTCGACCAGGCAGAGAGAATTTTGCTTGATTTAATGGTACTAATCGCTTGACTGTATCTCGAAGTATTGGAAAGTTCTTGCTAAAACAACAGTTTTCGGGTGGGCAGTTGTTTGGAGGACTGACAGTCGGTTTACCCCACGATTGGCGGGGTAGTCGATGTGCAGCAATTTTCGGTTTAGAGCAGCTCTACCACTAACATTTTTTCAGGTCGGGGTTGGTGGACATAACAAGACAATTGTGATTTATTTCACAACAACAAATCGTGTCACAAGTCTCATTTTACCTTCATTCGATTTGGAAAATTCCGGCGAGGCGAATGAGATACTCTTCATAATGGTGGCTTACTATTCGCAATACTGATCTGATGAGACTTTACGGTACCCCTTCAGCCTCTCTTTGAGCGGGCAGTACTGGGGTTCAGTGTGTACTCCAGTAGTCTCAAATAACAGCATCCACCACCATGTCCTGCCGCTCATGGAGGATGACAGGGTTCCGTGAAGACGCGTTTGACCGCGTTTTTGCAACATTGCAAGCCTCAGCCAAGATCTACAGTATAAAAGCCCCTTTACTCCCATCAGTATGTCTCCTTCCTTCTTTCTTCTCTCAACCGAGAAGCGAAATCGCATTCAAGTCTTCCTCGACTCACTTGAGCCCTCTCCGCCTGACGCGAGCAACATGTCCCAGGACAGCCCGCAGTCCTCCAGCCTCTTCGAGTCGCTGCTCTCCGATCCCCTTGACCCTCCCTCGAGCGATACCGGTACCACCTTGCCCTCCGAGCCTCCACAACGTCCTCAGACATGGGATGATGTCCCTCAAACCTACAAAGTTGGTGATGGTGCCGTGCAACTCATGCCAAGGATGGGGATCACAAGAGCATGGTTCTGGGACTACGGCTTAAGGTTCGCAGGGAAGGAGACAACCCCAAGGCCATCCGTTGGCTCTGCAAAATCTGCTCCTGTGCGAAGAGACCACCGAGGGTTCCATACACCCTCCTTGCCTCGAATCCCGAAAACGTGTACAAGCATCTCGCAGTTCAGCACAACATCCTCTCAGAAGACCCTCAACAAGCCAACAAGTACGAGAAGAAGAAGAAGCCGACTCAGCAGCAGTCCTCGATCCATGTCTTCACGAAAAAACGGAAAGCCGACGAAGCTTTTGACCAGGATCAGATTGCTCGGTTCGACAAGATGAAGTTTCGACGGCTCATTATCAACTGGCTTGTCGAAACCAACTTGCCCTTTACCGCGGCCACCAGCCCCGCCCTTCAAGCTCCCTCAACTACGTCAATCCGCAAGTGATAACTCAACAAGCGATGCCAGAACCCCGAGCTGTCCGGAAACAAATCTTGAGCGATTTTCACAAGTACAAGAGTCGTGTGACGGAGGCATTGGCGCGGAGCCCTGGGCAAGTCCATATTGCGTTTGATGGATGGACCTCCCGTAAGCGCCACGGTTTCTTGGCCATCAACGCTCAGTTCCTTGACGAGACGTTCGAGCCGAGGAAGGTCCTTCTCAATCTGCCTCATGTGGAAGGGAACCACACCGGTGCCAATATGGCTGCGCACGTCAAGGAGGTCCTAGAACAGTTTGGTCTTGCAACCACCTCGGATCAGCTCGGCTATTTCACGGTTGATAACGCTTCCAACAACGACACGGCACTGGCAGAGCTCGCGGCCCTTAAGGGACTCGAAGCTTGTGATGCCCCGCAGATCCGAATTCGTTGCTTCGGCCACATCCTCAACTTGGTCACCCGTGCTCTGATGTATCCCAAGGAAGCACAGCTACCTGAGGATATCGCCGAAGACGACTTCGAGGGCTGGAGGAAATCTGGGCCAATTGGTCGCCTGCATAACCTCGTGGTCTGGATACACCGCTCCCAGTTGGCAACCGACTTCTTACGCAATCTCCAAAAAGACGCCGGCCGTACGAAGATTCTCGACGTGGTTGTTGACAACGCGACACGGTGGCTTTCCCAGTTCCACATGATGAAGCGAGCGCTCGAGCTGCAGCCTTTTATCGAGGAACTGGTCGGCGAAGCCAGCTCACAGTTTGCAGCCGGGCGGTCTCACTCGCAGAGGCAGAGAGGTCCGCTTGCGGGTCTTCATGTGTTTGGCAAGAAACCCGCCTGCCTTGCTGACGATAGCCTCCTCACCAAGGATGACTGGAGCGCGATTCAATGGTTCTGTGTGATCCTGGAACACTTTGAGAAACGGCTCAAAATGTTGGAAGGGGATAATCAGCTCCGAGTTCGCCGTGGGGGCAAGACGACCCGGCTCAATGGCATTTGGGAGGTCTTCTCAGCCTTCGATCAACTGCTCCACAAGCTTGAGGATGCCAAGCTGGAAGCATAAACTCGCCCAGCGCCGAGTTATTATCAAGGATGTGTCAACGCTGCTTGGGACAAGCTTGACCAATACTGGTCCAAGATCTCTGAGTCACCCATTCACTACGCCGCCACCGTCCTCCATCCCGGATTCGGTCTTCAGTATCTCACCGGGGCCCTCCAGGACCAGCCAGAACAAGGCCTCTCACTGATCGAGGCCATGGCCGCCAAGAAGAGAGGGCACGAGTGGGCAGCTGAGGCAGAGAAGATGGTACGTGGTCTCTGGGAACAGCAATATCGAGATCGAGACTCCGATCCTCGATGGAGCGTATCATCTCCAACCTCCCAAGATATGGATCACTCGGATCTTGATGAGGACGAGCGAGCCATCCACCGAAAACGCAACCTCAGCATGATTAGCAGTAGGCCGTCGTCTTCACAAACGGTGGATGAACTGGATCGTTAGCTTCTCTCAATCGAGGGGAGATACCTTACCCCAAAGGCCGACCCCATCAAGTACTGGGTGGACCGCCGATTCGAATATCCCCAATTGGCAAAGATGGCCTTTGACGTGCTCAACGTCCCGCCGATGGCAGCCGAGTGTGAAAGAATATTTTCCGCTGCTGGCTGCATGGTAACGACACGACGGACACGGCTCGGGACTGACGTGATCTCTGCCGCCCAGACGATTAGATCGTGGGTGAAAGCCGGATTGATGGATGATTATGACGGAATCGCCCTCCGAGATGCAGGCAAGGAGGCGCTTGAGGACGAGATATTGCTTCAAATTGAAGGTGGCATAGCATGAGGTGACCGGGTTGTGGCTAGGTAGAAGTGTTCAGCAGTCGTGAGCGTCCTGTTATCGGAACATCTTTCATCCGCAAGCCATGAACAGTCTACGTGAATAGTATCTACATTGATAGAATAGCTCTCTATTCTATCAACTCTATCTCAGTCCAGCTGACTAATCCATCTATTCTATCTATTTCAAGGGTCGCGTGGGTAGAAGTGGATAGATGCAGAACCCTGGGTGCATGAGGCTGGGAGTTCCGTCGAACCAATGGGAGATACGGTTGGTGCAGTCCGGGCTTTGGAGGATATGACTGTCGTCCAACGGGTGGTTGTTGCAGCCATGGCCGGCGTGCTGTGTTCGGTTCTGTTAGCCGCGAGGCGACTTGTAATCAAGTGGAGCTCAGGCTGGAGCAGCTCGGCTCACTCACATGACGGCGGCAATGACCGCGATGGTGAGCGATGTGTATCTCATGGCTGAATGTCGGTCACGGTGTACTGCAGCTGAGATTGGGAAGGGAGGAGTGCAGTGATGGGTGAACCATTGCCCTGGCCCCTCCTGACCTTGCAGCCATACTTTATATAGTAGGACTCCTGGATGTCAATCCCAGCCATGACATGCCGTCTGCCACATCTGCACGAGCCCACTGCTCGGACTATCCATCCCTGTCCTTACCCGGACTATACATGAAATTATCAGGCAACCAGTTTCAGCTTGACTGCCTTACCCTTCCGCCCACCACGCCTTGAGCCTTGCAGAACGCAACCTGGAAGAGCTCGAGACAAAACAGCCAATAAAACTAGTCCGAGTAAGACAGGGGGAGACGGTCCGAGTAGTGGGCTCGCGTCTGCCCGAGCTGAATCCAGGCCAAGCACGAGATTGGCCAGGTCGCTTTGGGCCGCCCGAGTTGGGATTTTGTTGATCCGTCTCTCGGCTTTCCTATGTGGCATTCACAGGGCGAGCACCGCCTAAGAGCCAGGGGCTAGTGAGACGGCGGCAAAATTGCAGTAGACCAGTGAATGGCGTTCTTGCTTTCATTTCGGCGTTGTGTCGTTTCTGACACAGCAGGGGGCCCGGGGGAGGTCGAGTTTCGGGTGGATCAAGTTCACTTATTCTCAACCTCCCATCAACTGATACAAACCCACGTAGAGAAAGAAAGTGGCTCCGTCGGGGAGTATTAGTAACGCACCATGATATGGAAGCGAGTGACTACCTGAATACGTTACATGTCTGATAAGGAAAAGTAAAACCCATGAAAAAACAATGATGTCTAGGTCCTCTGCTCACCCAAGTCCCAAACCATCGCGGTAACGAAGAAGACATACTAACCCCCCGGTCCCCCTCCCTCGCCCAGCGAGGCACCCGCTGCCAGCCCCATCATATTCAGAACTTGGCCGAAGCGTGAGCTGACTGGACCACTCAGATAGACAGAATCACCAACAGAATCTGTCCGTGTCAAAGGTGTATCCCGCAGTCCAGTCGCCGCTGCCCTCCTGGACCTGGCCGTGGCCCAGGCGGTCGACGCCGCACTTGACGCGCTTGACCCAGTCCCAGGTGGCCAAGATGGCTGACTTGGGTTTCCAGCCGGGGGAGTAGGCGCAGATGAAGGAACGGGCGTTCTGATACACGTACTGTGGACAGTGTGTCAGCAAACCTATAAGCCCATAGCATGTGTAATCTAAGTACCGACGACGCAGGTGGCCTATCAGGTAAGTGCCCGGGGAGGGAGAGCCGGGACAGAGAAAAGGGACACAATAAAGATAACAAAAACGTACGCTGGCCCTGGCTCTACCATCAATCCGCACTTGGGTGCCCGCGTATTGGGAGAGAAGAAGGAGATTGGCCGCGTCGGTAATGCTGGACGAGATGCGCGCGGATGCGTGGCAGCCCTCGCGGCGCTTCTCGACAGAAGCACGCTCTTGCACGTCGTTGCCAGCCTCAAACGAGGTCGAGTTGACGATCTCCTGGTGAGGCGTGAAGGAAACCTTGGAATTGCCGGCGGCGTCGATTGTCTCGATCCAGAGACCCTCGGCAACACCCGTGCTGGATGCCTGGCTGCCCGCCGTCGTTGGGACGGCTTCAGACGCCGTCAGGGCGGTTGCGATGAGGATGGCGAGCGAGGTGAACTTCATCTTCATGTTTTCCAGTGGTCAATTTGAATCGAACTATGAGGAGTGGGTGTTCGGGGTCGAGGTCGGATGGGTGGTCAAGTCGAGACTGGAGATGGGACGGATGATATCGGCCTTTTATACACCTACGTAGCTGATTAATTCACAGACTCGCCAACTGCCCCATCTTGCCGTGCAAGCTTAGTCGGATCAAATCTCAGTCGTTCTCAACGGCGGGATCATCACCATGTCTGCAACGGTTGATGGATAACCTCCGGTGAAGACGTTGATTTGTAAAGCCTCGTCTCATCCACGGTGTCACCTCGCTAAGGTTAGTTACCTGGTGCTAAGGCATTGATTGTGCCTTGGACACGCATTTGTTGCATCCGATTGCTCGTTCTGATTGGAGCTGAGCGATTGCAGTTTTGGGACTGTATACGTAGTTATGTTGCTTTGCTCTGGGGTCAGCTGAGGTCAGCTTCTCCAGCACACGTGTACTGTACATACAAAGCGCGAAACTACTGTACTAGTAGAGACAGGGTCCACCCCACGATTTGAAGTTCTTGTTCTTCAACAGCCAGCGACGCACTATCAACGCGAGAAAATTGAGCATATAGTGGAGTCCACAATGACTTCCCAATTGTTGTAGTTTTTGTTGCATCAAAATAGGCCGTTTCTACCGTTGAGTTTCAAGTCTTGCGTACTCAAGTCAGGCGCTCGCAAACAAACCAGGGTTGGGGTTCAACAACGCGACAAGCACAGTCAGCTGCTGGGTAGGGTAAGGCGAGAGCGACTGACTGGCGTTTGATTGGATACTTTACTGTAGTTGGCGTCCCAGAATGGCAATTGCTCAGCTCCAATCAGCGATTGGTGTCCCAATAAGATGGCACGTAGTGTAGGGCTGCGGCAACCTCTACTGGGGTCCTTGAGAAATCTGGGGTTTGAGAACACGGCCCCTACACGTGTAGCCCGGAGTCCACTTCACGATCGGCTAGAATCAACCTTGCAACAAGGTCAATTGAGACCCTGGGGGATTGGTGCTTGCAGGTCAGATTGGGACACCGCGTGGCTCGTGTAGACATCGTCAACAACACCAACAGAGTTGAAGTCTACATCTTCCTCTGGCATAACCACGATTGCAGATACTGTGATTAGTGTCACGGCAATAGCAGGACAGCTGTGTTGCGGGGCACATATACAGAGTATAAGCCACGAGATCGCAAGGTTAGAGCGACTTGCGATTCGACACCCTTTTGCGGGGAAATGCAACATAGCTGACTGCAGGTGGGTTAGCGAGTGTATGCATGCATTTGTAACGGTCTCAGGTAGTATATTGCAACTAGCTGATGACGACTCTACGAGTACACTGAACTTGGAGAAGAAAAGGAGAGACGATAGACTGGTGGCTCGCAAGCATACTTATCCTCATAGGCGCGCTGGTCTGAGCGCGTTGCTAGAAGATTCGGTGCGCTGTGGGGCGAGTGGGAATAGCTTCATCAGAGGTCTTGGTGCTGGCCGAGAGTCGCCGAGGCTCGCATCGGGCCCAGCCCGTTACAACAAGACAAGAAAATTTATTAACGCCCGGCGGATGAACCGAAAGGGCAACTATTACAGCCTGACTATACATTTCCCAAGATATGTCCTGATCTCCTTGAAGCCCATAAAGTCCAAACAGCTGGTCTCGAAGGACTCTTGCACCCGGCGTCTTCTTCGCTTCCATGATGCCCTTGATCTTCTTGACTTCCTCTTCGTTCCTGCCGAGGATCCTAATACGGTTGATGTTTCCTCTGTCTCTAGTGACGGCAACGCAACGCCAGTTGGGTTGGTCGCCAGGCGCTCGCATTTCGTTCTCGATGAGCTTGCGAAGGGCTACCGGTTGAGCCTCTCCGATGTGTTCCTCTGGCACCCTGGTCATGTCCACCGTGCAGAATGCTGGTTCTGGCGTCGCCGCTCGGCCCGTGGAGGAGGCCGGGGTCGGAATGCTGGCAGGAGGTGTACGTCGGGCGACGTCCGAATATGCAGGCCGAACCAAAGGGGCTTCTTGACCCTCCTTCATGGCTTGGAGCTGCAGTCTAGTATCCTCGAGCTCACGGCAGGCTCGGGTAAGCTGCTCTCGCGCTTGCGACAGTTCTTCGGTCAACTGGGCCGTCATCTTGGCGACCTCCTCTGCCATGATTTTTCTAAATTGCATCTGAACTTCTGCCTTGATGATGTCCAATTTGTTGCTGAAGTCACGATCCGCGGGTTGCTCTGCGCCTCGAATTCCCTCGTCCGCTCTCTCGGCCGCTCTCTCGGCCGCTGTGGCCAGAACTGTGCGATTTTTGTGGTTTCTCAACACTCTCTCACTACTATTTTCTTCCTCCCAGTCCATATCGTTTTCTTGTTGCACTGACTCCATCGCTCTCTTCGTTTTCACCCTCTTGCGCTGCGGGCGGCGACATCCCACTCCTGTGGATTCCGAATCGCCTCTCATGACGTCGATGACGTCTGAAGCGCCGCGCGCCGCACCAGACATCTGGAAAAGACACACTCTTCCACCAGGTGCCTCAAAAGAAGAAAAGAAGATCGGTTTTGCAAAGATCCAAGTGTTCAAGTACCTCCCGTCGGGTCCGCGGTTGTGAGGATACGAACGTCTCTACAGTCTAACGCAACTCCCAAAGCATCCCCACCGCAAGCCAGGACCACGTCTGCTGTTCCTGCGCAGTCTCCGACCCCTGTCATTAGGGCTAGGAGATGGTCGCGGAGGGTGTCGACCCTTCGTCGATGTTGTAAGAGCTTTGTTTAATCAGTTCCTGAGACAAATCAGATGTGGTCGTTCTCGATCGTGTCAGCGGGCCGTTCCAGACCTCAGACCGGATCGATGCGCCGCGCCCCGCAGTGGGGCGCCTGCGCTGCTACACTGACTGTGGTAGAGCCCGGAAACCCGCTAAGCTCGCCGAACGCCAAGAAGTACAGTAGGAAGGAGAGAGACTTTCAGTCTCCAAAAACGAAGCTGACAACACAAGGGATCAGCTGACCGACCCAACTACTTATCTGGCCCTTAGAATGTTAGGGTTGAGGATAGACGGAGCCTTTTTTTGGCCTGCCCACGGAGCAGAAAATGGGCGCCTCTGAGCCTCTGTTAGCGCGGTCCGTTTTCATGAAACTGTTAAGAAAACGGTGCTTGCTTGGCAATGGCTTAGGAGATGCAGGTTCCAGTCGTAGTCGAGGGCATGCGGGCATATTCGAGGTTGGGCGTGTGGGCGAGGACCAGCTCGAGCGGGAGTAGGCGGATATCGGGGTCGCAGTCTACCATACGTGGTACTCACGCTAACCGAGGGCATGGTATCCACACTCTTCCACAGTGTGGGGATACGCGCACAACCAACCCACTTCAGCTACGTCGTATCTCCCTGAAAAAGAGTGTCGAATCGCAAGTCGCTCCGAACTTGCAATCCTGTGGGTTATATGTGGGTCACAGCGCAGCTGCCCCACACTGCACTCTGACACACAGTAATAAATACGCTAAACAACTAACGTACATGATAAGCGAACGTCCCAGACATGCGAACGTCCCACAAATCCACTCCTTCATACCTTTCGTCTTTGTATCGACTTTCCCTCACAACGCAATATGCCCCTAAAAAACGACGAAGCCCAAGTGCAATTAGCCCTTCAAGCAATCCAGAATGATCCGAAACTGAGCCTAAGAGCTGCAGCTAGGATCTGTTCTGTGGACCACGAGAAGCTCAGTCGCCGAAGACGCGGTAAACATTCACGACGCGACATTCCGGCTAACTCGCGCAAATTGACCGACCTGGAGGAATCGGTTATTGTTCAGTATGTCCTCGATCTGGATTCCAAAGGATTCCCTCCCCGCTTGTCTAGTGTGGAAGATAT